AATCTATATTGCATTGATCAGTTTCCCCTCAGAACTGAAATATGTACGTCATGTAGTTAAAGAACCATCAATTTGGTAGACATTGAGTTTCTAAATAACTGTCCTTTTATCTATCCTTTGCCTTTGCATCAAATTGCTCTGTGATATATGGATTATAAACTATCTGCTCTTCTTTCTTACTATGAAGTGGGAGATGGTTGTTGCATTTCAGATCAAGGATGAATTAGAATATTGCAGGGTTTAAAAGTTGTGTTCATATGACACTCTTACCCTGCCATAGTAGAAGCCTCTTTAGAGAAGGGGTGATGTTAATGCTGTTCTGTTTGACTTACTGAAGAAATGCATTAATTAGAGGAATTTTTCGATGATAAATTCACGACTGATTATTCTTGTTTATCTGACATACAGCAACTGCTACAAAAGTAAACCATTTTATTCTGGTTACTTCCCTGGGAACGAACAAATTTGGATTTCCTGCAGCTGTATTAAAGTAAGAAGACAATTTTTATGCACCTTTTGAATCTTACAAATACTTCAGCTAAATTAAAGAAAATTGATATACCTCATATTGATTGTGGAAGTAACTCTTTTCTTCCTGCTCAAGTTTGTTTTGGGGAGTGCTGTGCTGGAAGAGGAAGGCAGAAGAAGCGCTCATAGCTAGTGGTCTTCCCTACACAGTGAGTGCTACTGTGCTACTGTGGCACTGTGCTACCTTGCAAGGTTAGGTGGTAATCCTTTGTCAGTCATCTTCTAATGAATGTACATGTGGTTATTTCCAGATTGTGAGACCGGGAGGTATGGAAAGGCCTACTGATAGTTTCAAGGAAACTCATAACCTGACCCTTGCACAGGAGGACACTTTATTTGGAGGCTTAGTCTCAAATCTGCAGGTATACTAATCGTACTCCTTGCTATGTGATGTAGCCGGTAGCCCTTCATGGCTTCATTCATCAAAAAAAATGCTTTATTAGTCTAACATTACTCCAAAATTTTTCATTCAACCATCGAAGGATATACTTAATTTGTTTTTTCTTAGATAATTTCAGGCATGTACTTGCTGCTATGATTTATAATTTCTGGCTGAAGCTTTTCAAGATCTTGTTACTATAAATTTGGTTTTCCTAGATAATGAAACTCTATCAGTTAAGTGCAGGTGGCAGAACTCTTAGCAACTATGGCACAAAACCGAAGTCTTTCTTACTGCAAAATAGTGGAAGTAGTTGCTGAAACAACTGCACCATTAACTCCTATGACAGATCTCCTTACGAAGATCCCATCTAAACGGGAAGAATTACAGAAAACAGAGGTAAAACAATGCCTCCTCCCTAAAAAAAAGAAACCTGAAATGAATAACCCTAAGTTCCTAACAGCTCATTCGTTGATTCTTCATTTGGGCCTTCACTTAGCAAGTTAGCTTCACCCTTCTGAAGGAACCTGTAACCTGAAAAGTGTCTTTTTAGCAAAATTTGGAATAGATATCAGTTTGTTTTGGGCTTGCAGACATCGAACAAGATATATGACATTGATTATCTTGGGAGCATTGGCAGTTGTATGGTTAATTTAGAAGTCAAGCTCTATTTTTAGCTGCTAGTAAGATTTGGTGAATGAATAAAATATTGGCACATACGTAAGAGTATTTCTAATAGTTTTCACAAGGTATCATCTTCCTTCTCCTTGATTGGTATTATTGTATTAATAAGATGGTCTATTCTATTGCGAACTTTTGGCCATCATATGTTGAGTCAGGTCCCAATCACATTTAGTAGGAGGTTTCAACTTGAGAGTTATGGGATGATTAGTTGTTTAGATGGAATTGTAGTTGAAGAATTATGGTTTTACCTATTATTAGTAATCCAGAGAAAAAAATGACCTTTTTTTAGACATTACCCCTTAGATCCTTACCACTGAATCTTCTATAAATACTTTGGGCAGGGGGGTTACACTTATTAAGGGATGACTGATAAGAAATTGCTTTTCATAATCAGATATCAGAATCTCCTCGGACATCTGTAGCCTCACCCAAAACAAGCGTGATAGCTGAGGCAGCAAACACTCTTAAAGAGGAACTCTCAAAAGAAAAATTAGAGGCAAGGTCTTCACATTTCTGTCTCCTATCTGTTATAGATAGTTTTGGCCAATCATTTTCTCATCAATGGTTTCATTATCAGGAATTGGATGCTATAACTAAGACACTTGAAGCAGAAACTGCCAAAAGTTTCATCAGTGAGATACCAACTGACGTAATTGAGAAAGAATCAGTTCAAGACATAAATGTTCTGGCCAGGCCTTTGTCTCCCTACACAATGTAATTGTCTTTATAATGCAGCATGTTGTATATTTCTAAAAGTATTTAACACATTGGCATATGACTTACTGAGACACAGTTTGGACTTTAGACCTTTCAGCTGCTGGTCATTGTTTTTAAAGCAACATGTTGGTAGTGATAAAATTGAGTATGCCTTTCTCATGGCCTGACATATGTCTAGGAAAGGAACCTTTGCAAATTTGCAAATCCTTTTCAGACCACAACTACTGCTTATATTATTTCAGATACAGTTTATTTAACCAAGCTATACCATCACCCGCCCCCCCCTCCCCCACATTATCTAAAGCCTTAATTGTGACTCCATTCATAAACTTTCAGGTATGATGACTTAAAGCCACCTTCATCGCCATGCCCAACTGCACCTAGTGGTCAAGCTAAGCAAATTGAGCTTGACACTGCAGAGACTGTTGCGCCAGATACCTCAACTAGTGTTTCAGTAACAGAGGTTGATATTGCTGAGACATCTACAGTGGAATCGCAGAAATTGCAGCCTCTTTCTCCTTATACTGCGTAAGTTATATCATCCAATATATCTGGCTTGTGCTAGCAAAAACACCCTTGACTTCTCTGTCTTTTATGAACAGCTATGAGGATCTGAAGCCTCCCAGCTCTCCAAGCCCATCTCCTCCTGGTAACTCTCGTGAAGAATCTTTGGAGACTTCAACACCTGTGGATGGTGTACCACAGTTCATTGATGGAAATGGATCCTTGGCAGAAGATGTTCAAGAGGAATTGATTTTTTACCACTCACCATTCCCTGTGTAAGTCTTTGCAGTCACATGCTGATATCCTGAGGGTGGTGAAGTCTTGTGATTGTCATCAAACATGTGTAGAAATGTAATACTGTAGTACGTTTTAATAGGAAGTGAAGAAACTAGATTACCATAGGTAATTTGCTCATATATATGCATATTTCCCTCACATTTACTCTCAATTGCTTTCGTCAAGATGCCCTTTGTATTTTGGCTTCATTTAACCGCATCATAGAAATGCCTTCTTGAAGTTTTTATTATATGGATCATAATTTAGTTAAACCATTTAGCTAGTTAGTAGCTGGCTTTCATCTTTACACACAGCATTTGAGATTCCCTTTTGAACTCATAATTTATTTGGAAAAATAGCTAATCAGAAAATTGGTTACTCTTTTCCTTGCAGATATGAAGACTTGAAGCCCCCTACTTCGCCAACCCCAACAGCTCCTAATTCATTGGCCACTTCCACGGCCTCGGATGGTGCTGAATTGCAGACAGCTAGCTTGTCAAATAATGGTCCAGTTGAATCTATTGAAGCACAAAATGCAGGGAATGAGCAAACTTCTGCACAGCCAAAGCCAAGACCACTTTCACCGTATACAACGTGAGTCCATCACATTCAATCTGTTTTTTTCCAAATATTTTCTGTTTTACCATTTCAATGGCGAAGAAATTTCTCATCTTGCTAGAATACTAAACTGAATATGCACGCATATAGTCCTGAGAACAAAAATCCAGTCTTACTTTCTGGAAAGGTGGTGGTTACTCAACTGATTTGAGGAATTGAAAGAAGTATTTAATTATAATGTCTTTAAAGTTGTATGTTAGCCTTATTGTAACTCATTGAGGCTTAGCTGCTAGCTAGTTAAAGACATTTCACTGTAGTATAATTATTTGGTAATCTGGTGTAGCCGTATAGGTGAATATTTTTTATTACTGTAGTTTAGTATTATATGGTCTTTAGTTTAAGCATCTATTTATAGCAAATAGGATTCAACACCTACCCTTCCCTTACTTAGATAAAATAAATGCCTATGCTGAATTTCGCACAATGCGCTCCACTATTTATTCATCAGCATTATGGTTGAATAAGGGATGGGAGTAAGTCATACCGAGTAGTTGGAATAGAATACCAAAATTTTCACTTAGAGCTTATTTCCGGACCACAATGTGTTGCCTGCTGACATCCTGTTCTTTTTTTGGATGAAGGTATGACGATATGAAGCCACCAAGTAGTCCAATGCCTTCAGCAGGGAATAACTAACTATTCTAGAGCGGTTACTGCCAACCAAGGGATTACTAACACGCTGTTGAAATTCAGTCTATCTCCATTTTGATGAACTGAAAACTTCCTGTTAATTCTCTGTTGCATCTGGAAAGCCAATGAATATTTTTTGATGTAAAAGTTACAATTTCCATCAGACTGATAACTAAAATGTGTATTTTAATTACGTGTTAAAGTGAAGGGATCTGTTGTGCTATTGTGTATACATGTATAGTCCATGAGAGAATTTCAAACTTCAGGGAAGCTTATTTTTTTATCTTAAATTTGGTATCGCATTCAAACGTCATTGATGAATGATCTCCTTAAATATGCTGTTGTCTGGTTTCTAATACAGTGTATGTATAAACCAAAGTGCTCAGTTGCAGTGGTTGGTGAACTTTCTGGTGGTTGAATTCCAGCATTTTGGTCGTGGTCAAATATCTCATACTTGCCTGAAATAATAAAAATCATGCCTTTTTGAGCAGCATGGGAAGATTCTTAAAAGAAATATTTTTATTATTGCAATTTGGATGAATTATTTTTTATTGCAAAACTTAGTAAATAAAAAGTAAGCAGTTTCTGACCTTCCAGCTCCATTTGTATCACACCTACTGTCTTTATCTCTAGAAAAATTCTAATTCTAAAACATAACTCATCCATGTATCGCTTGATTTCCTGTGCTACTGCTTTGTTTTGTTTTCTTCAGTTTCTCAGTGCGGCGAATATTGAAACAGACAGATTAGCACTGCTTGAAGGCAAAGATAAGATAACCGATGATCCTTTCAGCGTGATGAACTCATGGAATGACAGCCTCCATTTTTGTGGGTGGCATGGAGTTACATGTGGTTATCAGAACAAGAGAGTGGTGGAATTGGACCTGCACTCTTTGAAGCTCAGAGGCTCACTCTCTCCTTATGTAGGAAATCTAAGTTTCCTCAAAGTGTTGAACCTTCAGAATAACAGTTTTGGCGGCACAATTCCTCCTGAGGTTGGTCGTTTACACAACTTGCAGTCTCTCTTGCTCACTAATAATTCCATTGCAGGGGAAATTCCTTCCAATATATCGCGTTGTTCTAGCCTTTTTGAGCTGGGAGCTAGCCGCAACAAGTTGGTGGGAAGGATCCCTCCCGGGTTTGGTTTCTTGTTACATCTACTTTGCCTTGACTTATCCACAAACAACTTGACAGGTACCATTCCTTCCTCTCTAGGAAACTTATCATCTCTTAGTATGCTCCATCTGGGTGGAAACAACTTGGTTGAGAAGATCCCAGACGACCTAGGAAATTTGAAAAATCTCACCATTTTAGCATTAGGTTCCAACATGCTGTCTGGAATAGTCCCTTTGTCGATTTTTAACCTTTCATTCCTGGCAAAATTAGATTTAGGTAGTAATGACTTAGAGGGACACCTTCCTTCGGATTTAGGCAACACTCTTCCTTATCTCCAGTTCTTATCCATAGCTGGGAACCAATTCACTGGACTCATCCCTGCTTCAATCTCTAATTCTTCTAATATCGGAGTTCTCCAAATGTCCGAGAACTATCTTCAAGGACCAGTTCCTTCTTTACAAAAGTTACATTGGCTTACTGACCTTGTCATAGGTGATAACTCCCTAGGCAGTGGCGAAGCTACTGATTTAGACTTTGTTTCTTCCTTGGCCAATGCCACCATGTTACAATGGTTGGATATTGGTCCAAATAATTTCAAAGGAATACTACCAAAAATCATTTGTAATTTCTCAACGCTTACATTTTTGAAATTTGAGAGCAACAGGATAGCTGGGAAAATTCCAACATGCATAGAAAGTCTTGTAGAGTTGCAGATATTTAACGGTTGGGGGAGCCAACTTTCCGGGGTCATTCCACAGGGTATCGGAAAACTTCAAAATCTGAATGAACTAGACTTGAGTATCAACCAATTATCTGGGGATATACCCTCCTCAATTGGAAACTTAACCAAGATAACTGTTCTTCAACTGTCTCAAAACAATCTTCAGGGACACATACCCTTATCTCTAGGAAATTGCAGAAATCTTCTAGGATTAGCTCTTTCACAAAATAATCTTAGTGGCAGGATACCCTCATCAATTCTTAGTCTCTCCACCTTATCTATTGCGCTTGATCTATCTAGTAACCGCCTTACTGGATCTCTCCCTGAAGAAATTGGGCAATTAAACAATCTGGCGGCTCTTGATATTTCTGGAAACATGCTATCAGGTGCAATTCCAAGCAGTCTACGTGGTTGCATTGCATTAGAAATCCTATACATGGGAGGAACTTATTCCAAGGCGGTATTCCTACTGCTTTGCAGACATTGAAGGGTCTCCGCATTCTTGATTTGTCGCAGAACAATTTATCAGGTGAAATCCCAAAGTTTCTGGTGAGCCTCCCATTGCAAATGCTGAATCTATCGGACAATGTTATGCTTAAAGGTGAAGTTCCCACCAGTGGTGTCTTCAGTAATATATCTGCTGTTTTCGTAACTGGAAACAATAGGCTGTGTGGTGGCATAGCTAAGCTAAAGCTGCCTAGATGCAATTTTGTGAAGTCCAAGACAAGAAGATCAAGCCATAGGCTGAGGTTAATTCTGCCAATTCTCTTGGGGGTTCTTGGAGCTATTTTTCTGGTGTTATCTGTATCAATTTATATATGCTGTTATAGAAAAAAAACCAAGGAACTCGCAACTTCAGATGATTTGGAAGATTTTCCGAATATGTCTTATCAATTCCTTTTAAAAGCTACAGAAGGGTTTTCTTCTAACAATTTGCTTGGTTATGGTTCCTTTGGAGTTGTATACAAGGGAATCCTCAATGATCAAGATGGAAAAATAGTTGCTGTCAAAGTATTCAAACTTGAGCATGCTGGTGCTTTTAAAAGCTTCATGGCTGAATGTGAGGTCCTACGAAGCATGAGACATCGAAATCTCATTAAGATTGTAACTGCTTGTTCAAGTGTTGATTATCAAGGAAATGATTTTAAAGCTTTAGTTTATGAGTACATGATAAATGGAAGTCTGGATGATTGGTTGCATCCAACACAAGCAACCAATAGAATTCAGGACGCGAATCATACACCAAAAAGCTTAAATCTTTGCCAACGACTTGATGTAGCAGTTGATGTTGCTTTTGCCTTGGAGTATCTTCATCACAGTTGTGTTCCATCTGTGGTTCACTGTGACCTCAAGCCGAGTAATGTTCTCCTTGATAGTGATTTGGTTGCACATGTTAGTGATTTTGGGCTAGCCAAGTTCCTGGTCTTAGAAGACATTGACAACTCTCAGCAGTCTAGTTCAGTTGGACTAAGGGGAACTATTGGTTATGCTCCTCCAGGTAACTAACTAACTGGACTGTAACTGTTATCCTGCACCTTATAACATGTGAATTTTCATCCCACATTTGAAATTTGATAACATTGGAGTTTTGATTTGCAGAATATGGCTCGGGTAATGAGGTGTCTATATGTGGCGATGTCTACAGTTTTGGGATCCTTTTACTTGAAATGTTTACAGGAAAGAGGCCAACTGATGACATGTTCAATGACGGCTTGAGCCTCCGTCACTTTGTGGAAGCAGCATTGCCTGACAAGGTTTCTGAAATATTAGATAATGCACTTCTTGAAGAAATAGCTGTAGAAGAGAACAATAGCACTATGATATTGAATGCCTTGATTTCTGTACTTAGGACCGCACTTTCTTGCTCTACTGAGCTCCCTCGAGAAAGGTTGAATATGAGTGATGTTGCTACAAAACTATCATCAATCAAGGGCAAACTCTTACAAAGGAGATAACTAGCTGGTAAAATTTCTAATCATACTTCTTTTTTCAATGTTATTAATTAACTATAAAGAACTACCACTATTTTAGATGAGATTCTATTTACTTTTTACTAGTAGTATAATTTCATGATAATTTTTTTTTTACTATATAGATAACTCTGAACTTAATTTTATTATCCTGATTAGGCTGAAGGTACATAAATATGATGCCGTACCAAGTTGGACAAGTCTGTGGTGCAGACAAAAATCTTTCAGACAGAAACTTCATTTGAATAGAAGTCTTTTTGAAAGTATTTCAGTAATGGGAGTAAGAGTCCTAAAAATATGCACTTTATATTTCCAGAATACAAAGCTAGTAATGAAGACATACATTGTAGGGATTAAGTTTAGACAGCAGTGGACACTGAAATGAACGAACTTGCGATCAGAGGAGCAAAGAAGCAGTCATGAAGAACTTAATTTTCTGCGTTCCTATTTTTCTTTTACTGATGTTTTAGCTCAAATAGCATATGATACTTTCTAAATGGGGTACAGTTCTCATCACTTCCTGCTATTGTGAAAAATGTGACTTAGAAATTAAGACTTGTTTTTTCTAGTTCTCTAGTTGGTATCCTGTTTGTTTTGTTATGTTGAAGTGGTAGTTTATTCAATAGGTGATGTAAGACCTCTATTGTAACTGAAAGAAAAATATATTGTCATTTTCTTACAGTAACAGTGATAGACTTATAGGGTATTTATTTATTTATTTTAATGTTGTTCTTGTGTGAAATTCACGAAAATAAATTTTCATATGTTGAAAGATTACTTATTCTAGGAAACATGACAAGTTGATTTTCGAATGATGAGTTGATTCGTGACAAAGCCTAAGCTATATTTGCAAATTGCATATGACTAAATGCTGCAATCGAATTCATAATCCCTGTCCAATTCAACCCAAATGAACATATTCCAAACATTCACCCAATATTTGACACATTATCACCTGTTTATAGCCAATTCAAACTCAAACCACACACTTGATTTGACAGCTCTAAACTCTAGCAAGACTCTATAGTCACTAATCGGCTAATGCGGGCAACATTAAGCTGCCCATATGGTGATATCAATCTACACCAAATGAACATATTGAACAAACATCACCTTATTTTTGACCTAACATGACCTGACCTGTTCATAGCCAATTCGAACTTGAACAACACTCTTGATTTGACAGTTATTAACTCTAGCAAGACTCTATAAGCACTAATTGGCTAATGCAGGCCACATTTAGCTACCCGTACAACATATAAATCTACACCAAATAATCATATTGACCAAACATCACATGATTTTTGACATGACATGTCAAAACCTTATAGCCAATTCAAACTCGAACTGCACCCTTAATTTGACATTCTAAACTTTAGTAAGACTATGTAGACACTAATCCGCTAACACGGGCCACCTTGTGCTGCCCATATGGTCATATCATTCCAAACCCAAGGGCCTAATTTACTAATTATGTTCTCTTAAGCCCCCAACGGTCCACACCACACGAACCGACATAACTTTCATCTCCCTAAGCTCACTGCGTCTGCAAATGGCTGACTTCCGCTGGCCCGACGACGGCGCGTCAGAAACGCGCCGCCATTGGAGCTCCTCCGCCATCTGAATTGTAACAACAAATTTCATCCTTGGTTAGTTCTCACACCTAACTACTCTGTTTCATTACATGCATCAATCCATCTATTTTCACTAAATTGTTAAAATTTAATAATGCAATTCTTCGATTTTCGGTGATTTTTTTGATATTTAATTTTGTGGCATTATAATTTAGATTCTTTTCGATACAATTGCATTATTTAAGCATTCGTTGTTCATTAAATTAAGTATATTGACCCTGGAAATGACGAATTCATCTTTATAATCTGCAAAAATAATTGTTTCATGCAAATTATCATTTTAATTAAGATTAAGTATATTGACCCTGTTGTTTAGCGCTAGCTAATTAGCTAAGGAATTGATAGGTCTCAAATGTGCAAATTGTGTATAACATTATTTTATCAATCCCTAAATTAGTCAAGGATTAAAAAAAATAATAATAAAAAAAATCGAAGATTTGATTATTTCGGTAACAGACAAAATTTTGTATAAAGTAATTTTTTATTTTCGCAATAAGTCTGATAACTATAAGTCTATTATGGAGTAATAAGTTATTGTAAGTCCGTCTCACGCCCTCACCTAAGAGGCGAAAAAGTTGGTGTTATTAATGAGTAGAGGACAAGTAAATGATTGTTATGTTTCTTATTAGTGATTCAAGAAATTTTGGCATCAATTGTTTTCTATTGGTTTTCAGTCAAATGTGATTTTGTTAGCTGGAAAGGATCAATTCTAGGGGTGAGTGTATATCGTGAAAAACTATATATTATTCGGTCTATGTGCTCAAATTTCGGGTAGAGATTTAATTAGTGCTCATTTAGTCATAAGCATAAGATAAGGTGCAGCCAATTATTTAGACCAAATAATAAGACCGTCTATAAAAAATCTGGATTTCACACTAGCAACTTTGTCCTCAAAGGAAGTTAATTGCAGCAAATAATTTAGACCAAATAATAAAGATTGTATTTAAAGAGCTTGGGTTTTAAGCAAGCAACTTGATTGTTACTTATAGTGGACTTTGATTTCTGATTTCGCTATTATTTGTGATTGAAAGCATTATTAGTAGCACATACATAACACTCCTTCTGTTAGAAATCTTCACTAAAATCCATGAATCCACTTGTATCACGCTTTGTGTTATGTATAGTCATGTTTGGCATTTTGTTATGCCACCTTGGTTCTGCCATTGCCAGGAACAATGAGTCAGACCGGCTGGCCTTACTTGAAATCAAAGCCGAAATCAATGACCCTGTTGGAGTTATGAGGTCATGGAATGATACAATCCACTTTTGTAACTGGTATGGGATTAGCTGTGGTCGTAGGCACCAGAGGGTGATGGTGTTGGACCTCCAATCGTTGAAGCTCACAGGTATTCTTTCTCCTAGTATAGGAAACTTAAGCTTTCTTAGGGTGTTGAACCTCCAAAGTAATACTTTAAGTGGAACCATCCCTTCTGAAATTGGTCGTTTGCGTAGGTTGCAGTATCTTTTGCTTGGTAATAATTCCATTGCAGGGGAAATCCCATCAAATATTTCTAGCTGTTCCAGTCTTATTCAGCTGGACATTTTTAATAACAGGCTGGTTGGAAGACTTCCACCCGAGCTTGGTTTCTTGACACAGCTTCAGTATATTGACTTGTCCATGAACAATTTGACAGGAACCATCCCTTCATCTTTTGGGAACCTATCATCACTTGTTGAGCTATATGCTGCCAGAAACAACTTGGTTGGGAGGATCCCAGTTAGCCTTGGGAAACTGACCAACATATCCGTTCTTGCATTAGGCGTTAATAAGTTGTCTGAAACAGTCCCATCCTCAATCTTCAACCTCTCTTCCATGACAATTCTAGATTTAGGAGAGAATGATCTAGAAGGAATTCTCCCTTCAAATATAGGCATCACTCTTCCACAGCTCCAAGCATTATCCCTAGGAAAAAATAGATTCACCGGACCCATACCTGCATCAATATCTAATTCCACAAACCTAGAATATCTTCAATTGCCTTCAAACAGTCTTCTAGGTACAGTCCCGTCTTTGCACAATTTGGGAAAGCTTACTCGTGTTAACATAGGCAATAATTTCCTTGGGTTGGGCCAAGCTGAAGATTTGAACTTTATGTCTTCTTTGATCAATGCCACCATGTTACAAGTCTTTGTCATAAGTAAAAACAATTTTGCAGGAAAATTTCCTAGAGCTATTTGCAATTTTACAAAGCTTTCATTTTTAGGATTTCAGCTAAATAACATAGCTGGACAGATTCCAAATTGCATAGAAAACCTAGCAGATTTGCAGTACATTGGTGCTTTTAGAAATCAGCTCTCTGGTGTTATTCCAAAGGAAATAGGGAAGCTCCAAAGTATAGTTGAATTAGATTTAACTGAAAACCATTTGTCAGGGTACATACCATCTGCAATTGGGAACTTAACCAAGTTGAATGTTCTTCAACTTGCTCAAAACAATCTTGAAGGTCAAATTCCCTTAGGTTTAGGAAATTGTAGGAACCTGATAGGATTGGATCTTTCTCAAAACAATCTAAATGGCAGTATACCATCACAAATTTTTAGTCTCTCCTCTTTGTCCACCGGACTCTTTCTGTCTTATAACCACTTAACTGGAGTTCTTCCGGAGGAAGTTGGAAAGTTAATCAATCTGGAGAACTTTGATGTTGCTGAAAACAGGCTCAAGGGGGAACTTCCAAGCAGTTTTAGTGCTTGTATACTTTTAGATTCCTTACACTTGGAGGGGAACTTTTTCCAAGGTGCCATTCCGCAAACTTTAGAAACCTTAAAGGGTCTTCATGAGTTAGATATGTCAAGGAACAATTTGTCTGGTCAAGTTCCAGAATTTTTGGTAAGCCTTCCGTTGCAGGTACTAAATTTGTCTTTCAATAACCTTGAGGGACGAGTACCCACTGGTGGAGTCTTCAACAATAAATCTGGTGTTTCAGTGTCTGGAAATACTGGCCTCTGTGGAGGTATACCTAAATTAAAGCTTCCTAAATGCAATTTCAAAAACATTCAGGAAGGTAGACGGAGCCACAGATTCAGATTAATAATTGCAATTGTATCAGGGATTTTTGGAATTATCTTTCTGGTGGGCTTTGTATTTGGGTTTGTTTTTTGCTACAGAAGGAAGGAACCCAAAGCTTCCCATGATTCAGAAAGTTCATTTCCTGAATTCTCTTACCAAACCCTTCTAAAAGCTACAAATGGGTTCTCTTCTGAAAACATCATTGGCAGTGGAATTTCTGGGGTTGTATACAAGGGAGTGCTAGATCATGAAGGCAGTGAAATTACTGTTGCCGTTAAGGTATTTAACCTGGTGAACCATGGTGTTTCCAAAAGTTTCATGGCTGAATGCTGTATCTTGCCGAACATCAGACATCGGAATCTTGTTAAGGTGATGACAGTATGTTCAAGTATTGATTATCAGGGAAATGATTTTAAGGCTTTAGTTTACGAGTACATGGTAAATGGGAGTTTGGATGATTGGTTGTATCCAGTAGAGGCAATTAGCAGGGCCCAGGACACAAATGTTGGGTTAAGGAAGTTAAATCTTCATCAAAGATTAGATATAGCAATTGATGTTGCTTTTGCTTTGGAGTATCTTCATCATCGTTATGGTACACCTATTGTTCATTGTGACCTCAAGCCAAGCAATGTTCTCCTTGATGAAGAAATGGTTGCACATGTTGGTGACTTTGGATTGGCCAAATTCTTATCAAAAGACATTAGTAACTCTTTTGTGAGTGAGTTCAGCTCTTTTGGAATAAGAGGAACTATTGGCTACACTCCTCCAGGTACCTAACTGGCTCCCTACCCCCTCACCCATTTGACCATCCCACTCCCTTTTTATTTGTGATTACTATTCTATGGTATATAGATGCATTACTATAAGGTTTTCCTTTTATTTTTAGAAGCATTTTAAACAATCTCTTTTCACGTCTTATGATCAACATCTGAGGTACAAATTGATGCAGAGTACGGTATGGGAAATGAATTGTCTACATATGGCGATGTCTATAGCTTTGGGATCCTTTTATTGGAAATATTTATTGGCCGTAGGCCAACCAGTGACACGTTTAACAGAGGCCTAAGCCTACATCATTATGTGAAAGAAGCTTTGTCTGGGCGGGTGACTGATATTCTAGATCATGCTCTTCTTGTAGATATAGTAAGTGAGGAGAACACTAATACTATGACATTGGAGGCCTTGATATCCTTACTTGAAATAGCCCTTTCTTGCTCTGCTGAGCTTCCACAAGAAAGGATGAACATGAGTGATGTTGCTGGAAAGCTATCATCAATCAGGAAAAGCTTGCACGGAACTCATCTATTGGGACAAAGCAGAGACTCTAGTGGGTAACATTCTACCAACTGCATGATAATTGAAAACCTCTCTATAAGACTGATTCATGTTTACTTCTTAAGTTTCTAAAGGAATATGTTTATGTGGAAGATTTACACTTTTCTGTGTATCCAGTTCATTTTTTGAATATAATTTCTTTCAATGTCTGCAATAATTGTAAGTGTAACTTAGCTGTGATATACTTAGTACTTCTAAACTGTAAGAAAGAAGATGAATATAAAATCTCAATTTTCTTGTAATGGTGAAATGATGTTTCCATGTTGCACTTGTTTAAAAGGATTTAACTCTTAATTTATGCCATTTGCGTGCCATCATAACATCTATGCTGGGAAGTTGTTGCAGAAAGTGCCACAAGCTAGGACAACTGTTGTTGCATCTTCAGCAAAACAGTGCTTTAATTATCTACACACTTGCATTGTTTCATGGTATATATAGCATGATGTTGCTATGTGTGGCCATCTTATCTTTCTTTTTTTGTTTTTTGATGAACAATTGGATATACTATGGCTGATGGATGATGTAGCAATTGTAGAATGTTGACATTTTCCTTAAATATTATGCAGAATATGATAATTTACGAATACCTTTGTTATACCTGTGACAACCTGTCAGTGTTAATTCAGAAAGCTTTTCTGATTAGTTTATGCCAGATCAGTCTAGAACTCTAGACATTGTGTCACAGCAAAACATCTTGATCATATCTTACTTGAAAGCATAACAGGAAAGGAGAGCACTAGCAGTTTGCTTCTTGAGCCCTTGAAATTACTACTGGTAAGTACACTTTCTTGTTCTGTGGAAATCCCAAGGCTGAATTGCTTCATTTGCTTGGGACGGGGAGAAAGTTTTTTTTTGGCACAAAGCTTCTGCAGTAGAATAGTACTATAAATACTCCGTATCAGAATTCAATGGCAAGGAATATTTGTACACGATGCCAATGGAGGTAACACCAGCACTGGTGAATTTCGTGGTAAAAAGCACGAGGGCGGCGTGTGGGGCAGAATTTAGATCAGAAGGGGCCCACATGCTCCATCAGTGGCCTAGGAAGCTATTTCGCCCCTCATAATTAGCCTTCTAACCTTAGGTTTTCTGTACAGAGAGGAATCTAGGGCTTATGTTTAATAATTTCTAAACTGTATATCTTTCTCTAAGTTGCCAATTTTACTATCCTTTGCCCTTCATTGTTTTGTAGAAAATATCATGCACCATATTTCAATGTCTCTGAGGAGTGTTGGTTGGTTATATGCTGTTCTTTGTTTTTGGATGGAAGAAAAAAAAAATCTGATGTCAATTTTATTGTACCAGTGAAACAATATTCATGATTTTATTCTATGCCATATCTGTATTGTTGCATCTTTAAATTTTAAAGTTACCCTTTTTTTTTACTCCAGATTGCCAACGTAATACTCCGTAGTTATTTTAGAAGCTTATGTTGCAGCATGATTATTTTAAACATTATAGCTTAGAATTGTTCCATGATGTAATTATCAGTGCATGGTGCTGATATGGGCATACTCTTTCTAATGTACAATAGCAGTTGTAGAAATTCCTGTAAGTTTTTTTTTTATCAACTACTGTTGCATCTTCTGCAGTTAAAAATCGTGTTATATATTCTGCAACCTGTAATTTTTGTCAGAGTATTCTGTTTCATGATGATTTTTGTGGACTTTACTTTATTACTTAGTAAGTGACATATGTGAATATACTTGAGTTGATGCTGCTGCATCTATTGGATGTATTCATGTTTCATTAGAATACTATAATGATACGACTTCCATGAGAAATTCAGTGTCAAAGTTCAACAGGATACAATAATTCATGAAATTTTTTGTAAGACGTTTCAGTGTTAGTTCCAAAAGCTTTTCTGATATTGTCATTCACTAGCTGTATGTGATGCAGAGTACAGACGATTATCCACTTGCTTTGGTCATTTAATAATTAATTAGCTGAAAATATTTACTCATCCTCTGCACGTATTTTCTGTTTTCTGACTAATATTTCTCCTTGAAGCTAAAGGGCTGTATGTTTACGTTCTCAAGAACAATTGAGGCGAGTTATGCTGATAGAAAATCTGCACTGGTGTAATTATATGAGTTATCGTGCAGAGAACCAGATATAGTGATCCCAAATGGTGGAGGACCAATTATGCAGAATGAACTCGCTGTGTGAATTGACTACAAATGGTTGCAGTAAGACCTGTTTGGTTGCTGGTATTCAAGGTTAGATTTCTTTGTCTATAATTGATGATGAATTAAGTTTTAGAGGCATGTGATTTATCTTATGAAGTGTAGTTATTTATCTCCAAGTTGTCAAAGTCACTTTGTGTGTCTTCTAGTAGATAATATACATAATTGATTATAATGTCTAGAATAATTAAGATTGTTTCTTAGTTGGTTGGTAATATATCAATTTTCTTTATTATATAGAGGATGAACATATAATGTCAATTATCTTATAGTATTAATATTATCTCACTATCTCCCATTGTCTTCCAATGAATTAATGAGGACTGGTTTCTCAACTAATTTTGAGTATTCAATGCAAAAATTGAACATATTAATTTTATTTTATTTTTTGAAAGCAAGGCTGCATAGATTAATTGTTAATTACATAATTAGAAGTAGCTGTTGGGACATCACCAGCTCGAACATATTAATTTATTATTCTAAAATCAAAACGAAATATTTACTTAGAACTTTGGGCACTAGTTGGGCCAGTCACAACTTGCTTAGCCATCCTTTTATTGTTTGGACTTATTAATTCATGTCCAATCACAAGACTTTCGGCCACATTATTCACTACATACTTATTTAAGCACTTCACTCTTCTTGATTTTATATTGCTATTTGACTTTGATTTCCCTTTTAAATAAGATACTAATTTTCCATTTCCCCCAAAATTTAGAGATGTTATACTCCTCATATCACTTGTTTATTTTGGTCACTACACTGTTTTACTGGTTTCCAATCCTCTACTGCTGTGAATGGTGAGACGGACCGTACAACATTGCTAAAAATCAAAGCCAAAACAACTGATGACCCTTTGGGTGTGATGAGGTCATGGAATGACACGGTCCACTTTTGTTCGTGGCATGGCGTTACTTGTGGTCGTAGGGATGAAAGAGTGATGGCATTAGACCTGCAATCCTCCAAGCTTTCAGGTACTATCTCTCCCTTTATAGGAAATTTAAGCTTTTTGAGAGTTCTGCAGCTGCAAAATAACAGTTTCGAAGGCATAATCCCGCCTGAAATTGGTCGTTTGCATAGGCTACAGACTCTCTGGCTATATAATAATTATATCGGAGGGGAAATTCCGTCGAATATATCAGGATGCTCTAGCCTTGTAAAGCTAGACTTGTTCAATAACAAGTTGGTGGGAGAAATCCCGCATGAGCTTGGATTCTTGTCACATTTGCAATTTCTTTACTTATCACAAAACCACCTAAGAGGCACTATCCCTTCATCCCTTGGGAACTTATCCTCCCTAACTGTGCTAAACTTTGCCAGAAACAACTTGCATGGAAGCATTCCTCTTAGCCTAGGCAACCTTAAAAAATTAATCAAATTGTCATTAGTCGAAAATAAGTTGTCCGGAAAGGTTCCACCCTCAATTTTTAACCTCTCATTAATGGAAGTTCTAGATTTAGGAGTCAATAATTTGGAAGGGAACCTTCCTTCTGATTTAGGAAACACTCTTCCGTATCTTCAACAATTCTCAGTAGCAATGAACCAGTTTACTGGATACATCCCATCTTCGATATCCAATTCCTCTTATCTAGAATCTCTCATATTATCATCGAATAATTTTCAGGGACAAGTTCCTTCCCTTCATAAGTTAGAAAAGCTAAAAGCCCTTAACCTTAACAATAACTATCTTGGGAAGGGTCAAGCTTCTGATTTGAACTTTGTTTCTTCCTTGGCCAATGCCACCATGCTACAACGGTTTGAGATAAGTCTAAATAATTTCGGAGGAATTATCCCTAGAACTATCTGCAATTTCTCCATGCTTACAGTACTGACATTTTACTTTAATGATATAACTGGAGAGGTTCCAACATGTATAGAAAACTTGACTAAATTACAAATACTTGGAGTTCATGCCAATTTACTCTCTGGGGTTATACCCCAAGGTATAGGGAAGATTGAAGGACTCCATGAGTTACGTTTAAATGATAACCAATTCTCAGGGGTCATACCACCCTCAATTGGAAATTTAACTATGATGACTCTTTTTGACCTTCATAATAATAGTCTTGAAGGCGAAATACCCTCAGTTCTTGGAAATTGTGGATCACTGCTAGGATTAGATCTTTCCCATAATAATCTAAGTGGGAGAATTCCCTCACAACTTTTTAGTCTCTCCACCTTGTCTATGCTACTTGATCTATCTAGCAACCGCCTAGTTGGGTCTCTCCCGGAGGAAGTTGAGCAATTGAATAATCTTGAGGTGCTTAATGTTTCTAGAAACATGCTCTCAGGTGAGATACCAAGCTCCCTTAGTAGCTGCATCGCGTTAGACATGCTAGGCATGGAGGGAAACTATTTTCAAGGTGCTATCCCAAATGCATTGGTGACATTAAAGGGTCTTCGTGTTTTGGATTTGTCACGAAATAAATTATCAGGCAAAATTCCAAATTTTCTTAAAAGTTTGCAGCTGCAAGTACTTAATCTATCATACAATAACCTTGAGGGTGCAGTACCTAGTGATGGAGTCTTCAGCAATGTAACAGCCTTTTCGGTACATGGAAACAATAGGCTCTGTGGAGGTATACCTCAATTAAAGCTGCCCCACTGCAATTTCAATAATACCCAGAAAAGAAGACCGTGGAGGAAATTAACGGTGATTATTCTTTCTACAATTTCCGGAGTTACTGCACTGGTGGCATTATATGTGTTATACATCTTCCGGCACAAAAGGGGAACTAAGACGACCAAAATTTCTAGTGATTTGGAAAACCTTCCAAATTTGTCTTACCAAACCCTTCTTAAAGCCACAAATAGGTTCTCTGAGGAAAATTTGATTGGCAGTGGTACATTTGGGGTTGTGTATAAGGGACATTTCGATGAGAATATATCAACAGCTGCAATCAAGGTATTCAAACTCGAGCATCATGGTGGTTGCAAGAGTTTCATGGCAGAATGTGAAGTCCTTCGAAACATCAGACATCGGAATCTTGTGAAGGTGATATCAGCTTGTTCAAGTGTTGATTATCAAGGAAATGATTTTAAGGCTTTAGTTTACGCGTACATGGTGAATGGGAGTTTAGATGATTGGTTGCATCCATCTAGAACAATAAGTGGGCTTCAAGATGCACCGAGGACCTTGAATTTCCGCCACAGACTTGATATTGCTGTTGATGTTGCATTTGCTTTAGAGTATCTTCATCATAGTTGTGGGGCATCTATAGTTCATTGTGACCTCAAACCAAGCAACGTTCTCCTTGATAATGAGATGGTTGCACATCTTGGTGACTTTGGTTTGGCTAAATTTCTTTCAGAAGATGTTAGTAGCTCTGCAAATCAGTCCAACTCTATTGGTTTCAGGGGAACTATTGGCTATGCTCCTCCAGGTAATGAGCTACTCACATCCGTAGCATTTTTTATACAGTTGATCTATGATCATAACTTCATTAAGCTTTAATTTTGTTATTTTCACCTTATTCAATAATATTCCTGGTTATATAACATTTGTGGTATGATTTAATGCAGAATATGGTTTGGGAAATGAGGCATCTACTTATGGCGATGTGTATAGTTTTGGGATTCTGTTACTGGAACTATTCACTGGAAAGAGGCCTACTAATGAAATGTTTAGAGGGGGTATGAACCTCCATAACTTTGTGAAAGCAGCTCTTCCTGAAGGGGTGACCGAAATTTTAGATAATCCTGTTCTTTTAGACATAGTTGGAGAAGAGACAGGTAGCAGGGCAATGTTGGAGTCTATTGTGTTAATTCTTGGCATAGCAGTTTCTTGCTCTGCGGAGCTTCCACATGATAGATTGTCCATGAGTGATGTTTCTGCTAAGCTATCATCTATTAAAAACAAGCTGATTGGAACTCGTCGTCAACAAAGGCGAAGAATCCTTGCAGGTAAAGATTCTACTACTGCTGTATATCTCATTTTCTGATGAGTTTTTTTTAAGTAAAAGCTAAGTTTGATTTTCCCTTGATTACACCGTGCTATTTAAGATCCTATCAGATGTAAATTAGTTCCTTCTGGCTGCAGGTGGACGCGGTGATTGATGTTCTGCAAAGCTGCTTAGCTCTTTTGATCAGTAAGCAGTGTTCTAGTGATCATGAAGGTTGTGAGGATCCCTTGTGCCTTTATTATATACGAAGTATCCCTTAAAAGCTTGGATTTGTTACTGCTGATTGATTTCAGAAACGTATTAATTGTATTATTATATAACTGTATGTAATTTCTTGTGTGTATGACTATTATTGGTTTTGCAAAGACTCGAGAGTCAGCAAGATCAGGTTTAATGAAATGGTCTAGAGGTTGCCATTTCTGTTTCTTTTTATTTAGCATCAAATTTACAATTATCCTAATACAGCATCTAATCGTATAAGTTGAGAATGTTTGAGTTTTGATGTATATCTCTTAAATTAATTGAAGCTTGCAGGTACGATTTAGCAATAAGGGGTGTTTTCCTATATTTTACTGGTGTATAAACAAGCATGAGAAGCGATATAAACTGCTGCAAAACTATTCTATTATGATGCACAGATTTCTGCAGGAGAATAATTGTGTATGTTCACTTAAAGAACTAATTTAGAGAAAATAATAAGAGAATTATGATATACAAGAAGATAAGGGGATTCACAAAAGCCACAAAGTATATGTGATGTATTCGAGATTTAATCCTCAATCTAAATTATGTACTCCGTACAGGGTTGTACCATATTTTAGACTTACTAACGAAGGTAACTAGTACCCGACATGTACATGTTGTAGTCAATTATTAGCGACTGACTATTGAGCAGAGTAAGAATCGAAGCTAGATTTCGTGGAAAAAATTTAGATGTATTTGGCTTATACACCCACATTTTCCAGGCTATTGCCCACAACCTCCTAGTGATCGCTCACAAAGTCACAAGCACTAGTAGTGGTGACTAAACTATGGTCCATAATTGATGGCACCCTTCACTATCAATTATAATGGTGTCTATATTCAATTGCTATATAATGAATAACTAGTGAGTGATCCCGGGTGTTGCCCCGGGTTGCTATTGTTGTAGACGTACAATCGGTAATTTTTTAAAAAGGTTTTTTTTAAAACTGCAATTGTCACCGTGAAACCAAAATTGAGTTATTCTTAGAATGTAGTTTTTTTTTTTTTTAAATTTTTTTTAATTAAACCTTGTAGTTTGTACTTGTATGAATTTTTGTCCATACAAATAACATAGTTGATATTGGCTTAGATAGTCAATTAGTCATATGTCTTATTAGAGGTTGAGGGTTCGAGCCAAAAATTGTAAAAAATCTTTATAAAAAAAAAAAAAAAAGCATGTGTCCAAAATAAAAGTCAAAAAATGTACTACATAGAGACTGTCCTAAACTCCTAATGTCTGTCCTCCTCATTTTGCACATATACGTCCCTACAATATGCTCACAACTATTACTAGTAATATTCTAGTCATTCGATTGACTTATTATTCTATGAATTTTCAGGTCTTTCACTATATATTGCATCTCTATTATTATTGATAGGTCTTATCTATCTCTATATTATTAAACATGTCGAGCTCATGCTCTTTCTTTTCTTGGATCTTTTTCTCTATTTGTATGTTTTGCTGCCCTCTGCTCTCGATAGCCCAGATGGGCAACGACACAGACCGGCTAGCGTTGCTCGAAGTCAAATCCAAAATAACAAGTGACCCTCTTGGTGTCATGAGTTCATGGAATGACACCCACCACTTTTGTGAGTGGTACGGGGTAACCTGTGGTCGAAGGCACGAACGAGTCGTGAAACTTGACTTGCGTTCATTACAACTCACAGGTATCCTCTCTCCTCATCTTGGTAATTTGAGCTTCTTAAGGGAGTTGTACCTTCAAAACAATACTTTTGAAGGAACAATACCGCGAGAAATTAGTCATTTGCATAGGTTGCAGTTTTTATGGCTGTATAATAATTCCATTGGAGGGGAAATTCCATCGAACATATCAAGTTGCTATCGACTTATCGATATTAGCCTCGATACTAATATGTTGGTGGGAGAAATCCCTCCTACACTTGGTTCCCTATCACATTTGCAATATCTTTACTTGTCAAGTAACAACTTAACAGGCAACATTCCTTCATCTCTCGGGAACTTATCATCCCTTTCGACACTCTTGATTGCTCAAAACAACTTGTTCGGAAGGATCCCATTTGGTCTAGGAAAACTAAAAAACCTTGCCGTTGTACAATTACAAAACAATAAGTTTTTTGGAGTTGTTCCACACTTGATCTTTAACCTTTCACTATTGACAACTTTAGATATAAGTTATAACGACTTGATAGGAAGCCTTCCTCTAGATTTTGGCAACGCGTTGCCACATCTTCAGCTGTTTTCAATATCAAATAATCGATTTGTTGGACAAATTCCAGCTTCGATATCCAATTCCTCAAATCTAGAAGTTCTCCAATTAGGTGAGAACAATCTTCGTGGCCAAGTTCCTTGTTTGCACAAGCTAGTAAAGCTTACTCGCCTCGGCCTTTATACTAACTCACTTGGGTACGGCCATGTTGATGATTTGAAATTTGTATCTTCCTTGGCCAATGCTACCAATTTACAAGCGTTAGACATAAGTCAAAATAATTTCGCGGGAGTTTTTCCTAAAATCATTTGTAATTTCTCATCACTTACTTATATAATACTAAGCCAAAACCACCTAATTGGAGAAATACCAAATTGTATTGAAAACGTAGCAAAATTGCAATATTTTGCTGCTGATCAAAATGCACTTTCGGGGGTCATTCCCCATAGCATAGGGAAGCTTCAATACCTCTACTTTTTACTTCTACGAAATAACAATTTGTCCGGAGTTATTCCACCTTCAATTGGAAACTTAACAAAATTGTCTATTTTCGGCTTTTCCGAGAATAGTCTTGTAGGAGAAATACCATCATCTCTTGGAAATTGTAGTCTGCTAACAGGATTGGATATTTCTAATAACCATCTTAGTGGCAGGATACCGTTACAACTTTTTAGTCTCCCCGCCTTGTCCTTGGTGCTCAATCTATCCGGAAACCACCTTATCGGATCCCTCCCTGAAGAAGTCGGCCAACTAAATAGTCTTGGTGCCCTTGATGTGTCGCGTAACATGTTATCAGGTCGAATACCAAGCTCTCTTGATAGTTGTGTGTCGTTAGAGTACCTCTACATGCGCGACAACAATTTCTATGGCACCATTCCTTTTACATTGGAGACGTTAAAAGGTCTCTATTGGTTAGATTTGTCACACAACAATTTATCTGGCAAAATCCCTAAGTATTTATCGAGGTTCCAATTGCTAGAGGGCCTCGATTTATCTCATAATAGTCTTCAAGGTGAAGTACCAATTGGTGGAATCTTTAGCAACGCGAGTAGTGTTGTACTAGATGGAAACAATATGCTTTGTGGAGGAATTTCTGAGTTAAAATTGCCTCATTGCAATGATTTTAGTGGCGACACTCAGAAAAGAAAGCCGAAGAAGCATAAGAAGAAATTAAAAGCAGCAATTGTTTCTGGGGTTTGTGGGGTTATTTTGTTCGTGGCTTTACTTGTATCATTATATATATTCAAGAAAAGAAAGAGTAGGAACTCTAATAAGGAAATTTTAGCTTCTGAAGTTTCCGAAAATTTTCCTAATTTGTCTTACCAAACTCTTCTAAAAGCCACAAATGAGTTCTCCTCAAACAATTTAATTGGTAGTGGTACATTTGGGGTTGTTTACAAGGGAGTTCTCGATGGTAATGGACCAACTGTTGCCATCAAGGTGTTTAGTCTAGAGTATCGTGGTGCGTTGAAGAGTTTCATGGCTGAATGTGAGGTCCTCAGAAGCATTAGGCATCGAAATCTAGTTAAGGTGATAACAGCTTGTTCGAGTGTGGATTATCAAGGAAGAGATTTCAAGGCTTTGGTTTATGAGTACATGGGAAATGGGAGCTTGGATGATTGGTTGCATCCATCGGAAGCAATCATTAGTGTCGAAGGCACAAGTAATAGCTCAAGGAATATGAATTTTCGCCAAAGGCTTGACATTGTGATCGATGTTGCATTTGCTTTGGATTATCTTCACCATCATTGTGGTGCTTCCATAGTTCATTGTGACCTTAAGCCAAGCAATGTTCTCCTTGACGATGAAATGGTTGCGCGTGTTAGTGACTTTGGGCTAGCCAAGTTTCTCCTACAAGACATCATCAACTCTCATGTAAATCAGTCCAGCTCTATTGGTGTAAGAGGAACTATCGGCTACACTCCTCCAGGTAACTATAATAGTCACTATAATATCTCATGTTCGAAATATTTGTTACATTTTCTAAAATAGTATCGGTTTTGTTAATTACTAGCTAGTATTGTTTGAATGGAGGGTATGTACCAAACTTTTTTATTCACATCAATTTCGTATTTTTGTCATAACTGCAGAGTATGGTTTGGGAAACGAGGTGTCTACTAGCGGCGATGTCTATAGTTTTGGGATCCTTTTACTTGAGATGTTTACAGGTAAGAGGCCTACTGATCAAATGTTCGAAGGTGGGCTGAGCCTACATCACTTTGTGAAAGAAGCTTTGCCGGAACAGATGAACTCAATTCTAGATCGCGCTCTTTTTCAAGATATAGATCAAGAGGGGACTAATGATACGAGTAGTAGATTAATGTTGGAGGCCTTGACTTCGATATTTGGAGTAGCACTCTCTTGCTCAGCTGAAGTGCCGCGAGAAAGGTTGGAAATGAGCGATGTTGTTGCAAAGCTATCATCAATAAGGAGCAAGTTCCTTGGAACTCGTTTACGACAAAGGAGGTTCATTCTAATGGGTAATGATTCAACTACGCATATCTTTGAGATTTTCACCTGATTGATCTGAAATTATATGAGTACTGACCTTATTTGTTCATTTTCTCAATGTAGGATCAAAAGATTGATCGATGTCGAATTGAATCAAGTTAATTACTCTGCCTATGAGGAAGTTTGTGTAGTAGTACAATTATTAAGAATGAGAACAAGCTGAACAACCATAGTAGGATCAAAAGAGTGATCGATGTTCTTGTGTGTATTTATGTTCTAAACTTATAATAATGGAGAAAATTACGTCTGCTTGACATTAGATTCCGTAATTAACATTCAATAAATATCAAAAAAGCATGTACTCAATTTATTTTCTACTATGTTATTTTAACTTTGAAAAACAGAGGAGTCAACATTTAAAAAAATATTTGATCTTGTATAGTTTAACTTTATCTTTGATCATTAACTAACCTTTTTGACCCCGTGTAATATACAAAAATGTATAAAGTAAACTAAATTACAATAACTTTATTTTCAATAAGTAACATTTTTTCTTATGAAAAAAAATGTATGGCATTAGCCCAAATAGGGAGAAAATGTTTTTGAACATCACAACAATTAGGTGTACTCATTGAAAGTATTAAGTATGGAGATTGGAGAAATTGAAAATCGTTGGTTTCATATATTAAATTATCAATTGAACTATTTTGAAAGGGGGTGATACTTGGCGTTCATGCGTTCGTGCGTGGTTTAAGATTTATAAATTAGGTGTTGTAACTAAGTATACAAATTGTACACTTCTAGACTTCTACTATATTAAAATCTACATAACATGTACTTGTATAAAATTTTATTTTATTATTAATTAAAATATTATATTTCCTTTGTTTCTTTTAGTGCACTGTATGTATCATAATATTTTAATCGTCCACATTCTAGCACTGTGTCAAAAATTTAAGTATGACTTTTGACCAAGTGTGAAAAGATCCCATAGCTTTTATGATTTATTTTTTGGTAAAGTATAGGTTTCAACTTTCCAAGTCGTCGCTGATCATCTAGTAGTCGTCTCTCGCATCGAGTCAGCAAGTCAATAAGCATCTGCTTATTGTGAAGCTATCACGTAGAAATTTTAATTTGTAATGATTGCGTGTTTGATTATTGCACAAATTTTATGCACATGTATAATATAAACATTTATACCATCCACGACTGATCTCGAATCCGGATTAGCCCAAAAAGGATGAACCGGGTGGAACACTAAAAAAAAATATAAGCATTTATACCAAGTATATCTTTAAATACTTTCCTTAAATACCAGTTATACAAATATTAAAAAATACGGAGTACAATACATGATACAATACTCCTATTTTAAAATTACACATTAATATGAATCAAATAAGATTATATTTATCGAACTCATGCACCATAATTATTTTTACTAGAAACATTAAAGATTCAATATTATCTTTAAATTTCATCCCAATAGTTTTCTTCCCCCAATAGTTTTCTTCCTCCATCAAACTCCTTAGCTTTTGCAAGTCCACATTGGTGGTCACTAATGAAGAACATAAATATGCTAGTTGTTGGAAAAAATATAGTATAATAATTCAAGTGTTAAATTTAATATACCAAAAATGGATATATTTTTGTTTAAAGTACTTAGCTTTAAAATTCAAGACTAGTAAACGGTCCTCCACAACTTGCACATACCTACTACACTCGTATTCTTTTACCGATGTTCCCATTGATTTTATGTTATTTAGTGATGAATCATTTATATAAATTCTTACAATATTGTAGTAGTATAAAATCTGCTTACAATAAGTCTGTTGATGAATATACATACATAATTGGCCTTGATTAATTTTTCTTTCGATCACAAGAGTTATACACAACTATGTATCGTGTCTACGGGCTCATATGTGTTACTACTTGGTTGTTATTGATGTGTTGTCTCTCATTCGCGATAGCTGGGAACAACGAAACAGACAAGCTAGCATTGATCGAATTCAAGGCAGGAATAACTGATGATCCTTTTGGTGTCATGAGCTCATGGAATGACACCATCCATTTTTGTGAGTGGTACGGCGTTACTTGTGGTCATCGACACCAAAGAGTGACAACACTAGACTTGAATTCCTCCAAGCTCACAGGTACTATTTCGCCTCATCTTGGAAATTTAAGCTTCTTAAATAAGTTGATCCTTTATGATAACAGTTTTTCTGGCATAATCCCATCCGAAATTGGTCGTTTGCATAGGCTGCAACGTCTTGGGTTGAATAATAATTCCATCGGAGGGGAAATTCCGTCGAGTATAGAAGGTTGCTATAGCCTCATTGGTGTAAGCTTCGAGGGTAACAATTTAGTGGGAGAAATCCCGTCTACACTTGGTTCGATGTCACGTTTGAAGTTTCTTCTTTTGGGAGAGAACAACTTGACCGGTAACATTCCTTCATCTATAGGAAACTTATCATCGCTTTCAATGCTATCTCTAATCGGAAACAATTTAGTAGGAAGGATCCCAGATAGTATAGGCAATTTAAAGAACCTAACCAGTTTGTATCTATCCAATAATAAGCTTTCGGGAGTAGTACCACCCTCGATCTTTAACCTGTCTTTATTGAAAGAATTAGGACTATCCCAAAATGACTTGGAAGGAAGCCTTCCTTCGGGTTTAGGTAACACTCTTCCATTTCTTGAATGGTTTTCTATAGCTGGAAATCGATTTAGTGGAGAAATTCCAACTTCGATATCCAATCTCACAAATCTAGAATCGCTTTTTTTTTCAAGTAACAATCTTCAAGGACAAGTTCCTTCTTTGCATAAGTTAACAAATCTTACTAGACTTAGCCTCGACGAGAACTCCTTAGGGAATGGCCAAGCTGGAGATCTGGATTTCATTTCTTCTTTGGTCGATGCAACCAATTTGCAATGGTTAGAGTTGAGCAAAAACAACTTTAAAGGAATTTTTCCTAAAACCATATGCAAATTTTCATTTCTTACTACTTTGGTAATAAATGATAACAACATAGCCGGAGAAATTCCAAGCTGCATTGAAAACTTAGCCGAACTACAATACTTCGCGGCCAATGACAACGCACTTGTTGGGACCATTCCGCTTGGGATTGGAAAATTCAAAGCCCTCCGAGGTCTTTATTTAAACAATAATCATTTATCAGGAGTCATTCCACCCTCAATCGGAAACTTAACCATGTTATCTATTTTTAACTTGTGTAACAATGATCTCGATGACCAAATACCTTCGAGTTTGGGAAATTGTGGATCCCTCATATTTTTATCTCTTTGTAATAACAGTCTTAGCGGCAAGATACCCTCCATAATTTTCAGTCTTACCTCCTTGTCTATTGGACTCGATCTATCTGGAAACCAGCTAACCGGCCCTCTTCCCGACGAAGTTGGGCATCTGAGTAGTCTTAACGCCCTTGATGTTTCTCAAAACAAGTTATCAGGTCACATACCAAGCTCTCTTGGTAGTTGTACGTCGTTAGAGTTATTAAACTTATGGCAAAACAATTTTTATGGCACTATCCCTGAATCATTGCAAACATTAAAGGGCCTTCTTGGGTTGGATTTGTCATACAACAACTTATCCGGTGAAATCCCGAAATTTATAAGCAGCCTACAGTTGCAAAACCTAGATATATCATACAATAACCTTGAAGGTGAAGTACCCACAAATGGAATCTTTAGTAATACAAGCGGTCTTTTGATTGGTGGGAATAGTCATCTATGCGGAGGCATACCCGAGTTAAAGTTGCCCAAGTGCAGGTTCACCCGCGACACCCATAAAAGACGAGTGGAGCGTAGGAAAAAATTGATGATCGCGGTTCTTTTTGGGATTACTGGAGTTTGTTTGTTCGTGTCTATACTTGTGTTGTTATTATGCAATTTCTGTAAGAGAGAGAAGGCAATGGAACCCGTTACTTCTAACAATGATATAGAAAATTTTCCGAATATTTCTTATCAAATGTTGCTTAAAGCTACAAATGGCTTTTCCTCCGAACATGTGCTTGGAAGTGGTGTATCTGGGGTTGTATACAAGGGAACTCTCGACGAGGAAGGATCAAGTGTTGTTGCCATCAAGAAATTTAATCTAGAGTATCGCGGTGCTTTGAAGAGTTTTTTGGCTGAATGTGGAGTACTTCAAAGCATTCGACATCGTAATCTTGTTAAGGTGATAACAGCTTGTTCAAGCATTGATCATCAAGGTAGAGATTTCAAGGCTTTGGTTTATGAGTACATGTCGAATGGCAGCTTGGAAGATTGGTTGCATCCACCTGAGACAACTAGTGTCGTCGAAGGCACAAATGATACCTCGAAGTACTTGAATCTTTATCAAAGACTCGACATTGCAATTGATGTCGCATTTGCTTTGGATTATCTTCACCATCATCATGGGGCTTCCGTAGCTCATTGCGACCTCAAGGCGAGTAATGTCCTCCTCGATGATGATATGGTTGCACATGTCGGCGACTTTGGACTTGCCAAGTTCTTCACAGAAGCCAACAACGCCATTCATACAAGTCAATCTAGCTCTATTGGAGTCAGAGGAACAATTGGTTATGCTCCTCCAGGTAACAAAAGTCGTCTTAATAGTCTAAATTTTATTTTTTGTAAATTCCACCTTTTTTTCCCCATAATAACACTTGCAAAACGTATGATGCTGTGCAGAATATGGATTGGGAAATGAGGTGTCTACTAGTGGCGACGTCTATAGTTTCGGGATTCTTTTACTAGAATTGTTTACAGGAAGAAGGCCTACAAATAATATGTTTAAAGAGGGTCTAAGTCTACATAGCTTTGTGAAAGGCGCTCTGCCTCAGCAAGTAACTGAGATTCTAGATCATATTCTTCTAGCAGACATAAACGGAGTGGAGACTAATAACATCATGATATTGGAGGCATTGATTTCAGTACTCGAAATCGCTCTTTCTTGCTCAATCGAGACACCACGAGAGAGGTTGGACATGAGTGATGTTGTTGCAAAGCTAACATCAGTAAGAACAACTCTCCTTGGAACTCGTTTATAGCAACGTAGAAGAATTCGAGCTTATTATAATGATTAATGAAAGAACTACTGTTTCATCCCAATAGAAGATTATTATTGTAAAAAGTGTAGGACTAATGGAATATATTTTTATTACGAGTAGAATTTAATATGACTCCATATTGTGAAGTGTAGTTTTCTTTTCTTTTGAAAGCCATTTAAGTTTACACATACTTGTGTTTACATTGTAAGAACTCTGAAATTGCAAAACCCATGCAAGTGTTGCCATCAATTTTGAAAAACTATAAAAATCATAACTAGCCTGTTCATTTCTCACTGCCTACAATAATACTTCAATTTTATTTTTTTTTAGTTAGACAATTTTGAATTATCACGCTTGCCAACACATATTTTTAACGATTAATATATCTAATTATCAACATTGTAAAATTACAAAAAAAAGTAGATATTAATAAAATATAAATCGAGACAATTCAAATAATATCCCACATGACTATATATTTTATTATGCTTGCCAACACTTTTTTTTTTTTTTTTTTTGAAAGATAAGAAATTGCAACTTATTATATGACATGTTTAATGTTAGAAAAAAAAAAGTAAGTATAAAAAGAAAAGAAATAATCTTTGGAGCCCAACAATAATGTGTAATATTGTTAGACCTTAGACGAAGTTACAGAGTATAAGGTATAGATTTATTATATCACCCTTTTAAATTATTTATTAATACATAACTAAATATATTAATAGTCAAAGATACATCTTGAAAACCTTTAATAATGAAAACTAGTATAAATCCCGTGCATGCACAGATAACAGTAAGATTTTTATTTAACTTATTAATTTAAAGATTATCATAATTAAACTTTAATGCATGAAATTAATTGACATATATGTATAATGTTAATAGTACTAATATTAATTTTTTAAGAAAATTTTATGTATAATGTGTTTTTTTTTTTTTTTTTTTTAAAATTGATACCAGTTTATACATTTTTCTTATATCGTGCACATACTTATCCTTAAAAATGATAATTTAAGTTATGGTAAGATTTAGAAACAATTATAATAAAAAGAAAATTTTGGAAAGAAAAATCCGGCTAGAAATTATTTTACCACAGAATCACACGTGTCATTTGAGATTCGCTTTTAGTATAGGTTTATTGATTGATGATTAACTCTCCGGCATTTCTTTCTAGCTATCAATTATACACCCTATTAATATAATATAATCAACGGAATTGAAACTGATAATAATGATGATTTTGGGTGATTTTCTTTTCAATTATAATGCCAATATATTATACACCCTAATCATGTGATTTTATTTTTAATTATATTGGGTTGGAATTTGTGGTCTGCTTGGATTTTCCAAGTCAAGTCGTCTCTCGCCATTATTTTATTTCATCTTGTGTTTACATTTAATAGCTTGGTCCTCTCAAACCATTGCAAGTCTTTCTTTATATTACTTTATGTAAAAACCATTGATATTATCTATTTTTTTTTAGATAAAAGCCCCAAAGGAGGGGGAGGGTACGGAGAAATGTCATTTTTTTTTTTTTATTTATCAACGTGTTGGCCGTTTGAAAAAAACGTAGTAACCTGGCTAACCCCTATAAATTGACATAGTAACCCCTATTATACTTACAGAGTAACCCATGAATATACTTATTGAGTAACCTTTGCAACACTGACAATGTAAGTAACCCTTATATTACCAACTAAGTAATCGTTATAACCCTAACTGAGTAAATCTATAACATTAGCCGGATAACGCCTTTGATGGATGGCTACACTGTGTAGCCAACCACATATAAAAGTTACTAGCTTAGACTTTAGACTACAATCTTAAAATTATTTGTTTTCTATTTTATTTTATTGTTTGTATTGTTTTCAAAAAAAAAATAAAAATAAAAAAAAATATTGGTTGAATCACTAAACAAAATTTACTTACTTCTTATCAGTTATTTCTATGAGGTATGATCAGTTACACAATTCGTCGGCATATGTTTAAGAACATAATGTTTGCAGCTAATTAAGCATATATACTAAACAGACAGTAAAAAAAAAAAAAAAAAAAAAAAAAAAAGACTATTTACACTTGGGAGCAAGGTATTTTCTGCTCATTTAATATTTATTTTGCTCATTTCAAAATCTTAAAATTTGAAAAAATAAATAAATAAATTACTTGTACACTTTATAATTTTATATGCACCCGATTGTATATATAAAATGTTAAACTGATAGAGTCATGTTGGATTACTCTTAATGATTAATAACTTTTGAAAAGCGTGTAAAAAATTCCTTGGAAGAGAATCTTGATGTACAGAATTTTCAACTCGTCGGTGACTATCTATAGGAGTTAAGCAATTATAGCAGTTTAACATATAGAGTAATAATCACTATAGCACTTTATTTAATTTGGGCAAATGAGATTTAAGCAACTATATACTCGAGTTCTCTGGCAAGAATTTATAGTCAGATTTTCCTTAATAAAAAATTCATGCCACTACATTTTCTAACAACTCTGATGGTTATATTCACATACAATTGCATTATTTTTTCTCCTATAAAAGGAGGGTTTAATGAGAGTTCTCAGATATAAACACGTATTTCCTTTTATGTTCCTTGTCTCCAAAAACACATACCATGTCTTGCTCTTCATTTTACTTGGCCATTTGTACTACAACAATCTTATGTTGTTTTTATAGTTGTACTGCTCGGCCTAGAAGTAATGAGACAGATAGAATGGGCATTGCTCGAAGTCAAAGCTAAAATAACACATGACCCTTTGAGTGTGATGAGTTCATGGAATGACACCCTTCACTTTTGTGAGTGGTATGGCGTTACTTGTGGTCATAAGCACCACCAGAGAGTAACATCACTAGACCTGCATTCCTCCAAATTAACAGGTACACTCTCTCCCCATCTCGGAAACTTGAGCTTCCTTAGGGAGCTGTGGCTTGAAAATAACAGTTTTGGCGGTACAATCCCGCCAGAAATTAGTCGTTTGCATAGACTGCAATATCTAGTGCTACCATCAAATATATCAAGTTGCTATAGCCTTAATTATATATACCTTCATGGTAACAGGTTGGTAGGAGAGATCCCACCAATGCTTGGTTCTTTGTCTCGTTTGCAGGTTCTTGCTTTAAAAAAGAATAACTTGACAGGGAACATTCCTTCATCTTTGGGGAATTTATCATCTCTTGTTGAACTCCACATCTCTTTAAACAACTTAGTCGGAAGTATCTCAGCTAGTATAGGCAAGCTTAATAATCTAACCACTCTGGATTTAGACAGCAATAAGTTGTCTGGGGTAATACCGCCTTCAATCTTTAATCTCTCTTCATTAACGGAACTAGATCTAGGAACGAATAACTTGGAAGGAGAACTTCCTTCAGATTTAGGAAACAGTCTGCCGCATCTGCAGTATTTTTCCGTAGCCGCAAATCGGTTCACAGGACACATTCCTACTTCAATTTCCAATTCCTCAAGCCTAACAGTTCTCCAATTGAGTCTCAACAATCTTCATGGACAAGTTCCTCCTCTGAACAAGTTAGTAAATCTTACTCTCTTTCGCATTGCCCAAAATTTCCTTGGGTCAGACCATTTGAGAGATTTGATATTTTTTACTTCCTTGGCCAATGCCACCGGTTTACAAGTGTTTAATATAATTCAAAATAATTTCAAAGGAGTTTTCCCTAAGATATTCTGCAATTTTTCATCACTCAATGTAGTAGCTATGGACAACAATTTCTTGACAGGAGAAATTCCATATTGCATAGAGAAATTATCAGATTTGCAAAAATTTGGGGTTGGTAATAATATACTTTCTGGGGTCATTCCTCCTGGAATAGGGAAGCTCCAAAAGCTCACTGATTTATACTTATATGGTAATCAATTATCCGGAGTCATTCCACCCTCTATTGGAAATTTAACCAAGTTGTCTATTTTAACTTTGTATAATAATCATCTCGTAGGTCAAATACCATCAACTCTTGGAAATTGTGGGTCATTAATAGCATTAGCTCTTACTAATAATAGTCTTAGCGGTTGTATACCCCCTCAACTTTTTAGTCTCTCTTCCTTGTCTATTGCCCTTGATCTGTCAGGAAACCATCTAACTAGGTCTCTTCCTGAAGAAGTTGGGCAATTGAAGAATCTTGACGAGCTAGATCTTTCTCGTAACATGTTATCAGGCCAAATACCAAGCTCTCTTGGTAGTTGTACATCGTTAGAGTACCTCTACATGGGAAGAAACTATTTCAATGGAACCATTCCAGATTCATTGGATTTAAAGGGTCTAGTTGAATTAGATTTGTCAAATAACAATTTATCTGGCAGAATCCCTCAATTTTTACAGAGACTTAAGTTACAAAGCCTTGATTTGTCATACAATAACCTTGAAAGTGAAGTACCTGTTGATGGAGTCTTCAATAATGCAAGCGGTGTTTACGTAAGGGGAAACAACAAGCTTTGCGGAGGAATACCTGAGTTAAAATTGCCTCAGTGCAGCTATAGCATCAATAACCAGAAAAGAAGACTGAAGCATCAGAAAAAAGTATTCACAGTTGCAATTCTTTCAGGGTTTTTAGGAGTTATATTGATACTTTCTTTTCTTGTGTTATTATATATTTTCTGGCAAAAAAAGAGGACTAAGGAACCTACAGCTTATGATGCTAAATCAGCCATTACAAAGCTAGAAATTCCACTAGGAATGTTACATTTTATCACTTGATCTTAAACAAGAAATTAGAACCTAAAACCAAAAAGTGGGTCAAATTTGATCGAGCCCAAAATGATGACTTGACCTTTGATTAAGATTACCTTGTTAATTCCTTTGTTCTCATTTTTATTATTTTCCGTCAAAAAAAAAAAAAAATTGCAATATTTGGAAATTTGCACAATTCACATTTTTTTATTTTATTTTTATTTTATTTTTTTTTTATTTTTGAAAGGGGTTAAAAGCGAGCATTTTATTAAAGCACATCAAGCTCTGCTAAGGTAGTGATACCTTGCAGATAAGTACCAATACAAACATGTTCCATACTACTTCCCATCTAGTTACCATATGAGTGACGGTATTATATGTCCTCTTAACATACGAAATATTAAAGGACTCAAAACAAGCTATCACGTCTAATATATGATCCACATTTGACCACCTTTGTTAACAACAACGTTGGGAATTTCACACTTATAATACATTTTATAACTTAATATCTTAAACTATATTTTAGTAAAAATTAGGATACCACCAAAACATCCTACTTTAATTTTTGGTGCATTTTCTTTGGATTATCTTCATAATCATTGTGGTGCCTCCATAGTTCACTGTGACCTCAAGCCAAGCAATATTTTCCTTGATGATGAAATGGTAGCTCATGTCGGTGACTTTGGCCTTACCAAGTTCCTCTCGAAAGGCATCAATGACGACTCTAATTCCAATCAGTCTAGCTCTATTGGAGTTAGAGGTACTATCGGTTACGCTCCTCTAGGCAACCAACTAATGCTCCTATCCCTAGCTATATTCAAAACTATCCAATTTATCTGTATTTATTATATTTTAGTTATCTATATCAGATGTTTAGCATATAAGTTACATGTTATTTTCCTAATAACTTTGGTGGCACTATACATGCAGAGTATGGTGTGGGAAATGAAGTGTCAACAAGCGGCGATGTCTACAGTTTTGGGATTCTATTACTGGAAATGATTACAGGAAATAAGCCTACTGATGACATGTTTAAAGGGGGGCTAACCTTACATGGCTTCGTCAGAGAAGATTTGGCTGGAGATGTTGTCGAGATCCTTGATCATGTCCTTGTTGAAGGCATAGACTCAACAGATAGCAACTTCTTGTTGGAGGCCCTGACTTCTATGCTCGAAATAGCACTTTCCTGCTCGACTGAGGTCCCAGCGGAAAGGTTAGAAAATATTGTTTCTGCAAAGCTATCATCAATAAAAAACAAGTTCCTTGGAACTCGTTTGCAGCAACGAAGGAGAATTTGAGGAGGTAATTAATGTATTAACTACTGAATTTCCCTTACTAATGAGTAGTGATTATTTCTGTAACAATCAAGTTTTGTTCTTTTACTTAATTGATTTTATTTTCATTTATTCTGAGTGCAGGAACACGCGTGTGATCAATCACACTGCCTTACTAATTTCATCAATTCGCCCATAAGCATGATTGTGATTTTGTGACCACGAAGAAGAAAATGAGCTCATACACTTCTGTCACTTCTCTAATTATTAGCCTTCTTTTTCCTCTTACTCAATGAATAGTGCTTTTGTGTTCTAACTCAGGATGAGATTATGAAGGCAGCTATGTACTTAAGAATACAGTTTAAATTATTGTGATGTTTTTATATTTTGCTTGCTTAGATGTAAAACAACTATCATTTTTCATTTAATGAACGTAATGTAGCTTATGTGAACGAAGTTGCAGCTTATACAGCTAGACGTTTACACATATTGTTAACTGCTAACACCTTGGGCTTGGCCCTCGTATGCACCAAAATTAAAAAATCAATCAATTCATCATACTTTCTTACAAATATGAACTCAAAGATGGACTTGTGAGGCCAAATCAAATACTACGTATCACAAAATACCTACCCCAACTCGGATCTAAAAAGACAAAATCTTAAAAATAACTATAAACTTACTATAAACACACCTGTTCTTAAATAATTGACACGTTTGATTTTTTTTTTTTTAACTATTTATATACTACATATTAACTAAGACCATCGTTTTTTAGTAACATATAAAAAACAAATTTGTTCATAAATATTTTGTTAAATAGGTAATAATATGAAAATTTAAAATATCAACCTTTTTTACTACGTATATCACATGGGGCCAATCAATTCTTTTTCTCTATCTCTCTCTACTCCAATAAAAAACAGAGAAAGTATTTTATTTGCTCGTATAACTAGTGGTCTGGTGCACAGTAACGACAATCACTCCGTAATTAAACTTGTCAATCTTTCAATCCTAGAAATGACCCTATAAATTTTCTTAGAAAAAAAGAAAAAGAAAGAAATGACCCCATAAAACGGGCTCAACGTTCTTTTAATTAATGGGCTGGGCCCGTAATGAGTTATGCACGGACACTTGGTACAATATTTATGGTCCCTTATTCAGAAATGAACATTTACTATAACAAAAATGAACATTTTCTAACTGAACATATTTTACAATAAATTTGTATTTCTCAATAACATTTTTATGTAGTATGATGTTCATTCTTAATAAATAAATTTTCATTTATATAATATTAGATTTATATTTTTTTTCAGTGTAATAGCCTCTTTATTTTATCTTATATTATAAATGTTTATTTTTATATGTTGCAATTTTCAATGACTAAATGAACATTTACTTACACGAAAGTGTACAAAATAACATGTGCACTTTTCATTGCATAGATGTTAAACAATAACATTAAAGAGACTATGAAATGGTGTGTTTATTTTTTACAACTGAAATGTTCAGTTATATAACATTAGATGTACAATCTTTTTTTCAGTTTCATAGTCTCTTTATTTTATTCTTATATTATAAATGTTCATTTTTACATATTGCAATGTTCAAATACTAAATGTTCATTTTTTTCTAATAAATGTTCATTGTTTTTCTAGTAAATGTTCATTTTTTCTAGTAAATAAACTTAAACAAGGAATATACTCACAATCAATCGTAAAGAAAGGAAAAGAAAACACACAAAATTATTCAAAAAAAAAAAAAAAAACTACATTGAATCAAAAAAGCAATAAATAAACTTACATTCATCCAATAATGAAGGAAGAATAGCAAATGAACAATCAGTAGCAAGCTCCATTTTCATAAACAAAAAAATCGAAAATCTTGAATACTTGAATATGTAGAACAATTCAACACCAGAAATCCAAAAAAAAAAAGAAAAAAAAAAATCGAATATGAACAATGAGAGAGAAAATATTGTAAAATCTAAAAGAGAGAGAAAGTTTGAATTAAATGAAAACAAATACTTTGTATACTCAACAAAGGAAACAAATATCGCTAGAAAATAACTTTAGAGATATTAGCAGAAAAAGAAAACAACATCGTTTAGAGGAATGATTAGCCAAATAAGAGTGGGCTCCATATTATAAATGTTCATTTTTATATATTGCAATGTTAAATTACTAAATCTTCATTTTTTTTCTAGTAAATGTTCATTTTGTTTCTAGCAAATATTCATTTTTATAGTGCAGGACCAGCTTCGTATGGCTGGGACTAGGGAAAAATTTGCGCACTTGGTAAGAATTTAGTCTCTTTACTATGGCCTTTTGACCTTTTCTATCAACCGAATACTCTAATAACTTTTTTTTTTTTTTTTTAAAGAGTAGTTTATTAGCATAAATCAACAGTACAAAGTCTAATACTCTAATAACTCTAATTCCAATGAATCAGCAGCTATACACTCCATTATTCACCAAGATCTCTAAGCTCTCATCTCAAATTTAGGTAAACGTAGAAGAACCAATCCAAGATTCAAATGCCTCAGGTAACTTACAAAAATTTATGTTTAATCAAAGCTAGCCATTTTCAGATTTACTTTGAATTTTGTTTTTAATCTGTGTGACTGTAAGTTAGATTAGGTGTTATTTGCACTAATTTTATAATTAAACAATGATGAATTAAATAATAAAAAAGAAAGAAACTTGATTGATTGAGGTTCACCTGTATATTTCAAAATTGATTTTCATTCATGTAATTTTTATTTACTTTTTGAGGTTAAAATTTATGATCTGCTAGGATTTTCCAAGTCAAGCGTGTGATCTCTAACCATTATTATTCAATTTCCAAAAAAGAATAGCAAATAAACAATCATCATGTTGAATTAGTAGTGTCTGCATTTTTACAGTTAAGTCGTCTCTCACCATTCCAAGTCTTTGTATATAGGATGTTGTACTTTGTAACACAACTATCACCTTAGAGATCGAGTTATTACAAACTTACAGTACACCAAATGTGCTCTTATCCCGACTCGTGCGACACGGTAGAATTGAGAAAAATATATATGTCTGTCCCTCCGTACCAATGAGGAAGACTTGAGAGTCTGGTCACCTTTCAATGTATTGTAGTATAAATTTGGTTATAAGAGCCATAGTAAATATGTATAATGTATTAGCCTTGGTTAGAGTATTCCTTCCTACTCTTAACTAGTCTGTGATTCTTTAATGTTCTACTAATAAATCAGAGAGGGCTTAATTTCAAAAACTTAGCATAATGTCATCCTCTACATTTTGCCGCCTCATCATTTTGGCAACTGCTTTCTTGTACTGCATTCATTTTTCCACTGCTGGGACTAATGAAACAGACAGGTTAGCGTTGCTCGATGTCAAAGCCAAAATAACAGGTGACCCTCTTGGGCCTTGGGGTTATGAGCTCGTGGAATGATACAATCCACTTCTGTCAATGGCATGGTATTACATGCCATCGAGGCCGGACAGTGAAGTTCCTGGAACTACACTCTTCGAAGCTCACAGGGTTCCTCTCTCCATCTATAGGAAACCTGAGCTTCTTGAAAGGGTTGTTCCTGCACAATAATACTTTGGGAAGTACAATTCCTCCTGAAATAGGTCGCTAGCATCGACTGCAGTATCTCTGGCTCAATAACAATACAATTGAAGGCCAGATTCCATCAAATATATCAGCTTGCTCAAGGCTCACACAACTCGATATCAGCTTTAACAGGTTGGTAGGAAATATCCCATCTGAATTTAGTTACCTTGTATATCTAAAACAACTTGGTCTTAATACAAACCACCTGACAGGAAACATCCCTTCATCTTTTGGGAACTTATCATCCCTCTCCGAAATCCATCTAAGCCAAAACAACTTAAGTGGAAGTCTCCCAAAGAGCTTAGGCAAACTAAAAAAATTAACGTCTCTCTTGCTTGCAGAAAACATGTTATCAGGGATAGTCCCATCTTCATTCTTTAACCTCACGAGATTAATGAATCTTGATATAGGTTCTAATAACCTGGGGGGAAACCTTCCTTCAGATTTGGGTATCAAACTTCCAAATCTGCAGTGGTTCTCCATTTCCATTAATTATTTCACTGGATCTATTCCTACTTCTATATCCAATTCTTCAGGTCTAAGTACACTTCAATTGGGTGATAACTTTCTCACAGGTCAAGTTCCTTCTCTACACAGACTAGCATATCTCTCACGACTTATGCTTTATGGTAACTTACTTGGGTATGGCAAAGCTGGTGATTTGAACTTTGTTTATTCATTGGCCAATGCAACTGAGTTACAGTGGTTGGATATAGAACGTAATAATTTATCAGGAAATTTCCCTAGGATCTTCTGTAATTTCTCAATGCTTTCCTCTTTATTAATAGATAATAATCATATAGGTGGACAGATTCCAGCTTGCATTGAAAACCTTGAATACTTGACGGAATTGAGTGCTTGAGGTAACCAACTCTTTGGTGTCATTCCTCAAGGCATAGTAAACCTCGAGTCCTTAGGGTTATGTGCTAACCAATTATCAGGAAAAATACCACCCTCAATTGGAAACTTAACAAAGATGACTGTTCTTTCTCTATATAAGAATAATCTTGTAGGCAAAATACCCTCAACTCTAGGAAAATGTAAAAACCTACTAATCTTGCATCTGCATTTCAACCACCTTAGTGGAAAAATTCCCTCTCAACTTTTTGATATCTCTACAACCATTAATCTTGACATTTCAATGAACAAGCTAAATGGGTCCATTCCTGATGAAGTTGGGCAACTCAAGAATCTAGTTTGGCTTGACGTTTCTGGAAACATGCCATTGTTGAAGACATAGACTCTGAGGAGACAGATAGCAGCTTGATGTTGGGGACTCTAACCTCTGTACTCCAAATCGCATTGTCTTGCTCAGCTGATAACCCACAAGAAAGGTTGGATATGAGTGATGCCACTGCAAAGCTAACATCAATCAGAAACAAGCTTCTTGGAACTAGATTACAACAAAGAAGAAGAATTCGTGCAGGTAATGTTTCTACTACCAAAGAAAAATCACAGGATTATTTCTATAATGACCAATTTTGTAATTTTCAATCAGACTTCAGTTTCTTTTCTTCTGAATGCAGGAACACGATGGTGATTAAGGTCACTTCAATTTGCCCATGACCAAGCTTGTGATATGTGTGGATAATAGAATTAAATGAGCGCAGCTGATATGGTCCCGCAACTTCTCTGAGAACGCTTCTCTCTGTTTTTTATTTATTTTAGTTTTGTAAAATAAAAATAAAAAATCATAATTAAGATCATCAGAATAGTAGAGCTATCTAGTTCAGACTACAGTTCCTTTATGTTGTTTTTTCTATTGTAAGATTATTGTTTGTATAAGGTGTGAACCTGTGATCAGATACACAGTTTGTTGGCATATCCTTTGAATATTGATTTTCAAAATTTTACAATTCGTCGCAGACTAATGTTATTGTTCACAGTCTTAAAAAAAAATTGTTATTATTCACGATTTCACAACCACTAGCAGCGTGTCAATTAGGCTACTAGTGCTAAGTTTCATTTTCCACTAAAGATCATGATTATGTATCTACAGTTTCTTTTACATGTTTTTTTAAATAAATTTTTATGTACACAAAATAAGAATCACTAGACTATTGATTCACAAAAAAAAAAAAAAAAAAAAAAAAAAAAAAAAAAAAAAGAATCACTAGACTAGTTTGTTGAAAACTGGATAAATCAGAGTTTAAAAATTGTATACTCCATTTCTCATCAGGCAAGAAACTGTAGTCACTTTCCCTCAAAAAAAAAAAAAAAAAAATTGACACTACGATTTCTAACTTATTAGATGGTTACATTTGACAATTGCATTAATTTTTATACTATATTATTTTATGCTTTACACTTTAAAATTTATTTTAACACGGCCTAAATATTATCAATCACGAACAAGTGAGCAAGCTTCAATTCATCCAAATTCATATAAAATCTATCTAGACAGCTAGTGCTCAATCACTCATTCTCATTAATACCTGATCATAATCCTTTTAATTCAGAATTTAAATTTCTCTGTTTTCATTGTTTCTGAAATCGATAGTCCCTAAAGCACTTCAGGTTAGATAACATTGAATATATATCTTATTCGATTATTTTTCAACTCCACAACCATAGTAGTGTATATACCATAAAATCAAAGGTTGTGTACCTGTGTGCAATTTAATAGTAACGCTGCAATATTATTCAACCTAAATATGGTTGCACAAATATCACAATTTTGATTCATTTCCATTTTTCTGAAAATACTTATGTATTAAACAAATTTACAAGAACAATACTCTGGTGAAAATACTTGTAATCCAAATCATCTTTGCAATGGAGCCATCACAATTATCAAACAGACAATTCCAAGTAAATAGTTTTGGCATAGTTTAAAACCACCGTAATTCCGTTTATAGTGTGAAGACAAGCAAAAGGTACCAAAAATAATAAAAATGTGCTAACATACAGGCTAATAAGGAAAGTGTACGTTCACATAGTCCCTTTCAAGAGCATAACATTTTTTCTCCAAAAGTTGAATTGTGTTTCTATTACTCTTACATAAAGAGGTCTTAAGTTGCTGGTGCAGTCAATTAACTCAAGCGTACATTTTCATTTTCACGTTTCGTGTTGACAAATAAGAACAAACAACGATGGTATGCTTCAAGCCTTTACAACATGCATTCGATCTACAGCATATAATATCATGACTTTAGTGGATAATTCAGATAACAACGGTAATCCAAAATTTGCTAGCTTCCCATTTCTCTATTCATATTATCAGTATTGTTTTTAAGAATTAATGTGTTCAAATTCTTAAGAAAAATCTGCAAGGTAACTCGAAACTGTTAGATCAGTATGATCACCATCCCACTCATGGGACACTAACAGTTAAACGAATAAAAGGTGTCTTGTTGGTTTTTATTTTTTAATTTCTACTAATTCACATACACTGTCTCGAGTCAATTGGACATCTCTGTCCACAAATGTCTTTAATTACGCATTTACGACGCCAGTATATATTACAAGTATAAAAGAAGTTGATATTAAAAAGATTGAAGTATTTAAGAACATCAAAATTTCAGAATTCTCTTCAAAATGTATAATTTAGCTTAGATGTTTATTAACTAGAGTTATCCTGCTCCTCTCTTTAAATAAAAGTTCATATATAGCTTTGTCTCCAAAATGTTAAGCTTTTCACCTTCATGCTTCTTATTTTACACTATCATATCATCAGTTATTTTTCTCTTTTGTTGTCTCCCCTTGTCGATAGCCACAGGGAGTAACGAAACAGACAAGCTAGCATTGCTTGAAATCAAAGCCCAAATTCGTGGTGACCCTCTCGGCGTCATGAGTTCATGGAATGAGACCCTTCACTTTTGTGAGTGGTATGGCGTTACTTGTGGTCATAAGCACCACCAGAGAGTAACATCACTAGACCTGCATTCCTCCAAATTAACAGGTACACTCTCTCCCCATCTCGGAAACTTGAGCTTCCTTAGGGAGCTATATCTTGAAAATAACAGTTTCGGTGGTACAATCCCGCCAGAAATTAGTCGTTTGCATAGGTTACAATCTCTATGGCTATTTAATAATTCCATTGGAGGGGAAATTCAATCAAATATATCAAGTTGCTATAACCTTGTTTATTTGTACCTTGATAATAACAGATTGGTTGGAGAGATCCCACTGATGTTTGGTTCCTTGTCTCGTTTGCAGTATCTTGATTTATCAAAGAATAACTTAACAGGGAACATTCCTTCATCTTTGGGGAATTTATCATCTCTTGTTAAGTTGTATGTTCTTGAAAACAATTTGGTTGGAAGTATCTCAGGTAGTCTAGGCAACCTTAATAATCTCTCCACTCTAGCATTAGGCGGCAATAAGTTGTCTGGGGTAGTACCGCCTTCAATTTTTAATCTCTCTTCATTAATAGCACTAGATATAGGAGTGAACGACTTGGAAGGAGAACTCCCTTCATATTTAGGAAACACTCTGCCGCATTTGCAGTTTTTTTCCATCGCTGAAAATCGGTTCACAGGACACATTCCTGCTTCAATTTCCAATTCCTCTAGCCTACAAGAACTTCAATTGAATACCAACAGTCTTCATGGACAAGTTCCTCATCTAAACAAGTTAGTCAATCTTATTATCTTTCGCATTACCCAAAATTTCCTTGGGTCAGTCCATTTGAGAGATTTAATATTTTTTACTTCCTTGGCCAATGCCACCGGTTTACAAAATTTTAATATAAATCAAAATAATTTCAGAGGAGTTATCCCTAAGATGTTTTGCAATTTCTCATCACTAAATTATGTATCTATGGGCAACAATTACTTGACTGGAGAAATTCCATATTGCATAGAGAACTTATTAGAGTTGCAATATTTTGAAGCTGTTAATAACACACTTTCTGGGGTCATTCCCCCTGGGATAGGGAAGCTCCAAAAGCTCGCTGATTTATACTTATCTCACAACCAATTATCCGGAGTCATTCCACCATCAATTGGAAATTTAACCAAGTTGTCTATCTTAGCCCTGTATAATAATCATCTCCTAGGCCAAATACCATCAACTCTTGGAAGCTGTGGGTCTTTAATAGCATTATCGCTTTCTAATAATAGTCTTAGCGGCAGTATACCCCATCAACTTTTTAGTCTCTCTTCCTTGTCTATTGTCCAAAATCTATCAGGAAACCATTTAACTGGGTCCCTCCCTGAAGAAGTTGGGCAGTTGGGCATTTGACGAATCTTGATGTCCTTGATGTTTCTCATAACATGCTATCAGGCCAACTACCAAGCTCTCTTGGTAGTTGCATGTCATTAGAGTACCTATACATGGGAGGAAACTATTTTCAAGGCACCATTCCTGATTCATTGTCATTGAAGGGTCTAGTTGAGTTAAATTTGTCAAATAACAATTTATCTGGCAAAATCCCACAATTTTTACAGAGACTCAAGTTACAAAACCTAGATTTGTCAAACAATAACCTTGAAGGTGAAGTACCTATTGATGGAGTCTTCGAAAATGCAAGCAGTGTTTACGTGAGTGGAAACAGTTAAAGTTGCCTCTGTGTAGCTATAGCATCAACAACCAGAAAAAAAGGCTGAAGCACCGGAAAAAAGTATTGACAATTACTATTCTTTCAGGCTTTTTAGGAGTTATATTGATACTTGCTTTTCTTGTGTTAATATATATTTTGTGGCAAAAAAAGAGGACTAAGAAACCCACGGCTTATGATGATTCGGAAAATTTTCCAAATTTGTCATACCAAACGCTTCTTAAAGCCACAAATGGGTTTTCCTCGGATAATTTGATAGGCAGTGGTACCTTTGGTGCTGTATACAAGGGAGTCCTTGAAGAGCATGAATCAACTGTAGCCATAAAGCTGTTTCAGCTTCAAAATCACGGTGCTTTCAAGAGTTTCATAGCTGAATGTGGAGTTCTTCGAAACATCAGACACCGGAATCTTCTCAAAGTTGTAACAGCTTGCTCAAGTGTGGATTATCAAGGCAGAGATTTCAAAGCTTTAATTTATGAGTACATGGCGAATGGAAGTTTGGATGATTGGTTACATCCTCCAAATTCAATCATTGGGGTTGAGGAAGATAATAATGGCTCAAGGCACTTAAGTCTTCGCCAAAGACTTGATATTGCAGTTGATGCTGCATTTTCTTTGGAATATCTTCATCACTATTGTGGTTCCTCCATTGTTCACTGTGACCTCAAGCCAAGCAATGTTCTCCTTGATGATGAAATGGTAGCTCATGTTGGTGACTTTGGCCTAGCCAAGTTTCTCTCAAAAGGCATCAACGACTCTAATTCCAATCAGTCTAGCTCTATTGGAGATAGAGGTACTATCGGTTATGCTCCTCCAGGTAACCAACTATTACTCTATTTTTGTTTTTACTCAACCAACTAATACTCTTATCCCTAGCTATATTCAAAAACAATATAATTTATGTGTATTTATTATATGTTAATTATTTATATCACATGCATGTTTAGCATATACGGAGTAAGATACATGTTATTTTCATAATAACTTTGGAGGAATTACATGCAGAGTATGGTGTGGGAAATGAAGTGTCCACTAGTGGCGATGTCTACAGCTTTGGGATTCTATTACTGGAAATGATTACAGGAAAGAGACCAACTGATGATATGTTTAAAGGGGGGCTAACCTTATATCGCTTCGTCAAAGAAGCTTTGCCTAGAGATGTAGTCGAGATTCTGGATCGTGTCCTTCTTGAAGACATAGACTGTCCAGATAGCAGCTTACAGTTGGAGGCCCTGACTTCTATACTCGAAACAGCACTTTCCTGCTCAACAGAGATCCCAGCAGAAAGGTTAGACATGAGTGATGTTGCTGCAAAGCTATCATCGATCAAAAACAAGCTCCTTGGAACTCGTTTACAACAAAGGAGGAGAATGCAAGCAGGTAATTTATCAACTACTTCTTTTGCCTCACAAATGAGTAATGATTATTGCCGTAGGTTTTTACTTTTCTGTTAGATTTTATATTCTTTTCTTCTTGGTGCAGGGACACGAGGGTGAACGATCAGTGCTTTACCAATTTCAACAGCACGCCCATGAGCATGTTTGTGATTTGATAGCCATGGAGAAGAAGATGAGCTCATAAGCTTCGGTATTCTCATAAAAAGCTTCTTTTTTCTTCTTATCAATAACTAGTCCTTGTGTGTTCTCACTCAGGATCAGAACATCAGAGCAGCTATCTTGTTCAGAATACAGTTTTTAAATTATTTTGATGTTTTTATTTTGCTTGTTTGGATGTGTAAGGACGAAAATTACTTAATCCTTAGTTGCATTAGGTATTTGATGATAAACGTAGTATATTGAAATGCCCACATCCCATTGGTCAACAGGTAGGTTTGAAGATCATATACATCTTGATTGATCAAATTTTCAAGTTTTCTGTTCAAGTTTCTGTGTTCCTAAGATGAGCAAATTGTAGCTTATCTGAATGAAACTTCATCTTTAAAGGCACAGGCGACTAATGTCAACATATTAGCAATAAGAAAAGAGAAGCCAAACACAATATTTTCACTCATAAAGTTCTTATGAAATAAAAGTATCAAACACAAATCTGTGAGAGGAAAGCTAATGAACCCAGGCCACTCTGCCCCCCAACTCCAAACTAAAAGACAGGAAAGCTAATGACCAAAAATGCATGTTATTTCTTTCAATTATCATTTTAAAGGCCATTCAATGTACTACAGATGCATAGTACTCTGCTGCCTAAGATAGGATATTCTGTAATCAGTACTCTGAAAAGAAAAAAAGGCTAGAGCTCGCCATCATTCGAACAACTAACCATAAACTCAACTTACATATCTTTCCTTAATGTTTGCAACTAAACCAACGAGCAGAAACAAAACTTAAAACAAAGCATAGTTAACAGATCTTCTAAGAAGTATAGTTAAGAATAACGAACCTTTGTTTAATTTAGCACTCCGTTATCTTAGAAATTTAGATGATCGGTTCCAACTCCAAAAGAAAGCAGTGCTCCAGCAGCATTAACTCAACAAATGAGTTACTTCGAGCTCACAACAACCAAAAGTTCCGATTTCCAGCTAACGAATGATATCCTATTACTTCAGTAACTATTATCCTGCCCTTCTTCATGACAAATAGTTGAAGTTAACTTCAAAGGCAAAAGCAACCATATATTATATAAACCATATTAATACTAAGGCCGAATTAATATGTGCACGATATAACAGCCAAAATAGAATTGATCATGAACAAAATTGGCCAAAATATTGATAGCTAGTACATATTTATCATTAACACCTGTTCAGAATATCTGAATCTTTGCGATAAAGGATTAAATTTCCTAGGTTTATTTTCACTGTTTCTGAATTTGATAATGCCAAAAGCATTTCAGGTTGGAAAACTTTGAATTCATCTTATTTGATAAATTTACAACTCCTCAACCTTAATAGAGTATATCACGATTCAAAGGCCTCAAATTCCAATTTGTGGAAAAAAAAAATCTCAATTAAACTATTTGAATAATTATTCAGCATCAATTTCATTACACAACAATCAAATTATGATTCATTTTCTGATTTTCATTTTCCAGAACATATATGTAAATTATACATTCAGGCCCTGTTTGGTTTGATGTAAAATGTTTTCATAGAAAATGAATTTTCCATTTTTTCCCATTTTCCTTTGTTTGGTTTGTTAAGGAGTGGAAAACAATTTTTCAAGGGTGGAAAATTTCATCCTTAATGATGGAAAACATTTTCCTTTAAAAACAAGGAAAGCCACATTTTCCTCTCTCCTCCTTACCTCTTTTTTTACTTCCCTCTCATTCATCCTTACATTTCCACTTTTATTTTTTATTTTTTATTTTTCTTGGACTTTTCTTGTATGCAACCAAACAAAGGAAAACTAATTTACAATTGTGTTTTTCCTTGAAAATATGTTTTCCATGAAAACTAATTTTCCATTGAAAATGTTTTACATTAAACCAAACGGGGCCTCAATACAAAACCAAAAGTTTTTAAAAAAAAAAAAAAAAAATCGATCAATTTCTCTAAGAATTGAACATTAAAATACTAATACAAAAAATTATACCTTGAGATAAACTTTGATCAAATTTATGAGCATTCAATTGAGTACAGAGTAATTCCTAATTTAATAATAGAAAACGAACTCTCCAGAAAGTCTGTCTCTCTCCTCTCACGCCGGCAATACTGGCAACGCCGGCATACGCTATCCGCTTTCCGTTGCCGGCGGGAGAGTTCCAGTGATTTGTGTGAAATCTTCGGGTACTGTTGCTAGATTTTTTCTTGCCCAATTTCACCCTTTGTTTATTTTTATTTTTTACCCATCAAATTAAATGGAAAAATCACTTTTGTAACCACTGCTAAAAATAATTTCACCAAAAAAAAAATAATTTCATGGTTTCAAAAAAAAAAAAAAAAAAAAAAAAATTCACTTTTAATTAATCGATAAATAAGCCGTACCTATATTGGCTTTTAATTTTTTATGTTGATGTTTATAATGAATGGTGAATTTTGAGAGTCAAATATTTAAAAATTGACCATAAAACTTGAAGGGTAAAAAATAAAAGAAACCAAGTGAGGACGGATTAGTATTTGCTACTCCGTAAAGTTTGAAAAGAGTAATGAAGTGTTTGTTTAAAAACTACTCCATATTGTATTCTTTTGTCCTTTTTCTACATCGAGTTTGTAAACAAAGTTATGGTACACCACCAGCTTAGTTGGCTAATATCTTGAGAATATCTTTAGGCCCTGTTTAGTTCACCTTATTTTTACTTATTTCACAAAAAATAAGTTCACATCAGATCACATCAGAAAAAATAAGTTCGGATCAGATCAGAAAAAATAAGTTCAGATCAGGAAAAATAAGTTCAGATCAGATCAGATCAGAAAAAATAAGTTCAGATCAGATCAGATCAGAAAAAATAAGTTCAGATCAAATTATTATTATTATTATTATTATTATTATTATTATTATTATTATTATTATTATTATTTATTATTATTATTATTATTATTATTATTATTATTATTATTATTATTATTATTATTATTATTATTATTATTATTATTATTATTATTATTATTATTATTGATTTATGATGTATCGGATTTGATTTTATCGTTTGTTTGAACTAGCAACATTGTCCATGTTATTAAATAGCACAAACAATAAACGATAATAATTAAAATTTCATTATAAGCTCCAAATCATAAACGTTTACAAATATAATTTTCATTACAAGAAGTTCCAAATTTCCTTCGCTATATTAAGTTGTATTTATACACCCATTTCATATAGAGGAGCCTAACGCGAACATGGGTCGGAAGTAGAGCTGTCAATTCGGGTAAACATGTCGGGTAAGTGTGGGTCGGATTAATTCGGGTCGGATCATTTCGGGCTGACTACATTAATGCACATGCACCTACAAAGTAGTAGTATTCGTAAATAGTAATTACTAAATTTGAATAAATAATGCACATGCATCCAAAAAGTAGTGGTATTCATAAATTTTCATAGGTTTTTTGAGACGTAAATTATAATACATTTGATAATAGAGAATTTTTTTGAAAATATTTTAATAAGCTTAAATAGGAAAATAACTCATAGAATTAGGGAAAGAAAAAAAAATATGACGTAATCCTAGATTGCTAGTTAATTTCGGGTCAATAACAAGTCGGGTTGATTTCAAGTCGGGTTAATGATAGATCGGGTTGAATTCGGGTCGGGCTAGTAATAAGTCGGGTTAAATTCGGGTCGGGTTAGTAATAGGTCAGGTTAAATTCGGGTCAGGTTAGGAATAGGTCGGGTTGAATTCATGTCGGTTTAAATTCGGGTTTTGACGGGTTAAAACGGGTCAATGTGTCATTCCCACACAACCATACACGCATGAATAAAAAAAGGTTCAATAGAGGAACAAATGAATAAAAAAAACACTTAAACGACCTAAACAAGTTAAATATAAAAGCTTAAATAAAAAAAGGAAAATGAAATCTAATAATCACACCTTTGCTCCATCTTCCAGAAACAATCTCACCTTTTGAAATTTTAGAAACAATTCCATTAACAATAATGATATTATTATTATTTAATAATAATAATATAATATAATATAATAGTAATAATAATAGTAATAATAATAATATAATATAATATAATATAATATAATATAATAATAATATAATACAATATAATATAATAATAATAATAATAATAATATAATAATAATAATAATAATAATATAATATCATAGTAATATAATATCATATAATAATAATATAGTATAATATAAATTAAATGATCATAATAATAATAATAATAATAATGATAATGATAATAATAATAATAACAATAATAATTAAACATTAATATTGATTAACATTAAAAGTAGAATATTGAAATAATTAAAATAAGGTCAAATCAGAAAAAATAAGTTCAGATCAGATCAGATCAGAAAAAATAAGTTCAGATCAGATCAGATCAGAAAAAATAAATTCTGATCAGATCAAATCAGAAAAAATAAGTTCAGATCAGATCAAATTAGAAAAATAAGTTCAGATCAGATCAGCTAAAATCAGGTGAACTAAACAGCCTCTAAGTCTTACTATTTCCTCAACTTCCATGAAAACAATTTTAAAAATCAACTTTCCTTTCACCATGCCAACAAAAGTGATGGTCCCAAAACCAACTTAAATACTTTAGATTTTAGAAAATTATCTCACCACCAACTAAACTCAAAACCTTGCTTGTAAATTATATAGGGACGGATGTAATATTGTAATATAATTAAAAATTATTGATAATTAAAGATATACCCATTAATAAAAGTTTTATAATTGCTGAGCAAATCATACGATCCAAACACTAACCCAATTCGACTAGGTTGACCGTTTTGGCTTGACCACTAGCTCCATCTGTATGGTCCACGTGCTCCATCTGATAAGATCTAATAGGAAGTAGTATCATTTAGTATCCCTTGGAAAGAGTGAATAAATGAAGGTTGACTTATATAATGGTTCATGTTACCTTCTCATCTAGTCCATGTTCATCATTTGCAAAGTCAAAACACTTAAATCTCATCATCATAATACATTAATATAAAACCTTTTTGACTCCCTTATTGTACGCATGAAAACATGAGAGGGCATAATTTATTTAGACTATAAACCAAATGATTAATTTGTTATATTCAAATATTCAATATTCTTCATTGGTGTGCAACAATGTTGCATGTGCCACTCTTTTTTTAATTTCATCTATGATTACTTTGGTGAACTTTCACAGTTTGACTTATGCATTTGAATAAAAAGTCATCTCTTTTGTTAACATAGTTACACCATTGTATATTTCAATTTGTATGACACTTTTTGATCCAAAATATTAAACATGTCATGCGCATCTTCTTTGTTTTTGCAGTTCATTTTGGTTACGACTATGTTTTGCTGCCATAAATTCATCATTGTAGACGTAGTAGCCGGGAACGACGACATGGACAAGCAAGCATTGCTTGAAATCAAAGCCAAGATAAGTGATGATCCTCTAGGTGTGCTGAGCTCATGGAATGCCTCCCTCCACTTTTGTAAGTGGCATGGTGTTACTTGTGGGCGTAGGCATCGAAGAGTAACAACACTCGACCTAAGTAACTCGAAACTCACAGGTATCCTTTCTCCTTATCTTGGTAATTTGAGCTTCCTTAGAGAGTTATACCTTCAAGATAATAGTTTTGGAGGAACTATACCCCAAGAAATTAATGGTTTGTATCGTTTGCAAATTCTTTGGCTATTTAACAATTCCATTGGAGGGGAAATTTCATCGAATATATCAAGTTGTTATAGACTTATTGATATAAGCCTCGACAATAATAGGTTGGTGGGTGCAATCCCTCCCGAGCTTGGTTCCTTGTCACAATTGCAATACCTTGATTTGGCAAGGAATAACTTGATAGGTGAGATCCCATCATCCTTGGGGAACTTATCATACCTCGTCGAGCTCCACATGGGTAGCAACGCTTTGGCCGGAAAGATCCCTAATCAACTAGGTAAATTAAGATATCTAGAAGTTTTGATTTTAGACAATAATAATTTATTTGGAGAAATCCCTCCCTCAATCTTCAACTTATCTTCATTAATCAAATTAAGTTTAGCACAAAATGACTTTATAGGAAACCTCCCTTCGTATATGGGTAACACTCTTCCCTATCTACGGTGGTTCTCCATATCCAATAATCGAATCACTGGGCAAATTCCAACTTCAATATCCAACGCATCGGATCTAGAAGTTTTGAGCTTATCGAAAAACAATCTTCAAGGACAAGTTCCTTCTTTGCATAAGTTATCATGGCTTAATTACCTTAACCTTTACACAAACTCCCTAGGTTATAACCAACCCGAAGATTTGAACTTTATTTCTTCCTTGATTAATGCAACCAATTTAGAATGGCTACAGATAAAAGATAACAACTTTGGAGGAGTTTTTCCTAAGATCATTTGCAATTTCTCAAATCTTACTTATTTAACACTAAGTCACAACAAATTAGATGGAGAAATTCCAAGTTGCATAGGAAACTTAGCAAAATTGCATTTCTTTTCAGCCGGTAACAATACATTCACAGGGACTATTCCTCGAGGCATAGGGAACCTTCAAAACCTCACATATTTATATCTGAAAGGTAACCATTTATCCGGGGTCATTCCATCCTCAATCGGAAACTTAACTAAGTTGTCAACTTTAACCCTATCCAATAATAAGCTCGAAGGCCAAATACCTCCCAATCTTGAAAATTGTAGATCACTTCTAAGCTTAGATCTTTCAGATAACAAGCTTAACGGCACTATACCGTCACAACTTTTTAGTCTCTCCACCATGTCCATCCTACTCAATCTTTCAGGAAACCATCTAACCGGGTCTCTCCCTGTAGAAGTCGGACAACTGAAGACTCTCAATAGCCTTGATGTTTCTCGAAATATGTTGTCTGATAATATACCAAGATCTCTTACTAGTTGTGTGTCATTAGAGATTTTATACATGCAAGAAAACAATTTTAACGGCACCATTCCTGATACATTACAAACATTAAAGGGTCTTCGTTGGCTAGATTTGTCACACAACAATTTATCTGGTGAAATCCCGAAAACTCTCACAAGCCTTCAGTTGCAAAGCCTCAATCTATCACACAACAATTTTGAAGGTGAAGTACCCATAGAAGGAGTTTTCAAAAATGCAACCGGTATTTTGATAAATGGAAACAATAGGCTATGCGGAGGCATACCCGAGTTACAACTGCCCCATTGTAGCTTGAGTCGCAACACTAAACAAAGAAGACTAGAACATAGGAAGAAATTGATCATTGGAGTAATTTGTGGATTGTTTGGGTTAATTTTGCTAGTGGCTTTACTTGTGTCTTTATATAGTTTATGGAAGAAGAAGGAAACCAAGGTATCTACAAATTCAGATGATTGTGAGAATTTTCCGAATTTGTCTTATCAAACACTTCGTAAAGCCACAAATGAGTTCTCCGCAGAAAATTTGATTGGTAGTGGAGCGTTTGGTGTTGTATACAAAGGAACCCTTCAAGAGAGTGGATCAATTGTTGCCATCAAGATATTTAAACTAGATTATCGCGGTGCTTCTAAGAGTTTCATGGCTGAATGCAAGGTCCTTCGTAGTATAAGACATCGAAATCTTGTCAAGGTGGTAACAACTTGTTCTAGTGTTGATCATCAAGGTACCGATTTCAAAGCTCTAGTGTATGAATACATGTCGAATGGAAGTTTGGATGACTGGTTACATCCAGCCGAGGAAATTAATAGGCCGGTTGAAGGCATAGAACATACATTAAGGAAGTTGAATCTTTACCAAAGACTTGATATTGCAATTGATGTTGCATTCGCGTTGGACTATCTTCACAACCATTGTGGTATCTCCCTTGTTCATTGTGACCTCAAGCCGAGTAATGTTCTCCTTGATGGTGAAATGGTTGCACATGTCGGGGACTTTGGGCTCGCCAAATTCCTCTCCAAAGGCATCAACAATTCAAATGAGAATGAGTTCAGCTCTATGGGTGTTAGAGGAACTATCGGTTACACTCCCCCAGGTAACTAATTAATAATAATGTTCTCACACTTTTTCATCACTACTATAAACTTGAATCATTTTCACAAATATATAATCAAAGATATAAAATGTCAAATTAAGTTTGTGTATAAACAATGTAAAAAATCAAAGTGATGCATCTATTGAAAAACAGAGGAAGTAATATAACTTTTGAGGTATGTTATGCAGAGTATGGTTTGGGAAACGAGGTATCTACCAATGGCGATGTATATAGTTTTGGAATTCTTTTATTAGAGCTGATAACCGGAAAGAGGCCTACAAATGACATGTTCAAGGGGGGTGTAAGCTTACATTACTTTGTCAAAGAATCACTTCCTGGACATGTGATCGAGATTCTAGATCGTGTTCTTCTTGAAGACATATATGATCAGGAGATTGATAGCAGTTTTATGTTGGAGACCCTGAGTTCTATACTTAAGGTCGCGCTGTCTTGTTCAACTGAGGCTCCACAAGAAAGGATGGACATGACCGATGTCGTTGCAAAGCTATTATCGATTAGAAAGAAGCTTCTTGAATATAGCTTACGGCAAAGAAGAAGATTTCAAGCTGGTATATTAATGGTTTAATTATTGGCTATCCCTCGCTAATGAATAATACTTAATTTAATAAAACATTGAAAATTGACTTTGATGTATGTGAATATGTGATTGATCTTTCTTTCTTGGTGCAGGTTCAAAAGTGTGATTGATCTCAAACAAGTATGGTCTAACTTTGAGCAAACTCCTAGAGACATGAAGATTAACGAATGAAATAACGAGCTATATTATTATTAGGTAAAATTGGTCGTAACACCCTGAATTATGGCCTACCCTGAATTTTGCGTTGTAGCCAAAACACCAACAACTATGGTGTTAGGTACAACACATGTCACAAATAAAAATTTCCAACAACTTATTTCAAAGGATGAAGTGAATATTCACTCTCTAGAACAATAATATAGTCTTCCATCCACTTAGCACGCATGGATTTACTTTATCTGAAGAAACAGTTATTATTATATTTTATTTTTTACCTATACTACATTCCTCGGTTTTTATTTTATGAAATGATGGAACCTTTTTATTTTTATTTGAATATTTATTTTTTTCTATTTTGAGGAAAGATATGAAGGAACTATACTGAAATTTTTTCTGTGGAGACGGATGCACCATGCATCCGGTTTTCTTTAAAAAAAAGGCGGAATGAACATTTAGTTGTTCAGTGAAGAACATATAGTTGTTTTGTATATAACATATAGCTATTTTATAAAGAACATCCAGTTTTATATTTTTATTGTAATAGTAGTAAAGAACATGATAATATTAAAGAACATTATTCATATAATAAATGTACATTTGGTATAAATGATCATAAATGATAATGTATGTATATAAAAAAGTACATTTTACTGTATTATAATGTACATTGTATTATATCTTAATGAACATAAATGTTATAATGTTGGTTACATGATTAATGTACATTGTATTATTTGGATCATGTAAGTATATGAAAAAAGAACATTTTACTGTATTTTAATGTACATTGTATTATTTGGATCTACAACTTTTTCTAAATTTGTCTATTTGCTTGCTTTCTTCTTCCAAAGTGTATTAATCGGTCGATCTTCTTCAAGAACTTCATTTTATTTCTCATTGCAACATCAAAATTACATCAAAATCGCAATTATTTCCCAATAAAATCAAATATTTCAATTTCCAATCAAATTTATAAAGAACAAACACTCAAACTCAAAATAAACAAGTATGAATGTCGAATTTGATCTTACCTTTCGTTTTTATATGTCATCTTGAACAATTTTGGACTCAAAAATTCGAATTTCTTAAAATTTTGCTTGAGGTTTGAGGAATTTAATTGGGTTTGAAGTTTTGTTTGGAGAGAGAGTAAACTTTTGGTAAAAAAAAAATGAAATGATTTGTAATTAATGTATGGTAAAATAAATACATAAATAAATAATAAAAATTATAGTAATATTTATCTATTTCATTATACAAAATTTCTTTCAAAAAAAATATATATATACAAAATTGTTGCACAAAAATCTGATGTACATTATAAATGAACATTATGTTCTATTATGTATATGTCCATGTACATTATAAATAAACATTATGTTCTTTTATATGTCCATGTACATTAGTATACACCTACATGTACATTCCGCCTTTTTTGAAGCGGATGCATCATGCGGATCGTGCATCCGCCTGGACGAACCAAGCAACCAAACTATACAGTGTTAAACCTGATTAAATTATTTTGCTTGTTGTAGTAATATATTTTGTTTTTGGTGTAGTGAGACACATGCTCAACTTCACAGTCTATTACTCTAATTATCTTTTTTTAGACAAACATGTCGTGAAAATTCTACCATATTTATTTGAACCACTAATTCTATAGTAGTAATTTCATATAAGTAATAAGTACTTCGTATATCATATTGTTAAAGTATCGATGCAAACACGAAAGTTGACTTAAACAGTGATTTACATTTTAAATTAATGATTTATATTACCTTCTTTGTCCACTAATAAGATTTTTTATGTAGATTTCCTATTAAATTTTAAATTAATGATTTATATTACCTTCTTATTTGTCCATATCCCTAGTGTAATTTATAAGAGTAATTAATTAGAGTATAGTCCAGGTGATTAGGTATGGACCAGTTATTTTTAATTCCTATTCAGAGACTTCTGCAAAATTTAATAATTTCATTTTTTTTTCATCTAGTACTTATAAAAGTGGCCTTATATCATAATATCAACATAATTTGTGAGAAGTAATACCAGAGTTATTGTCCTAACCAAACCACAAAATTAAACATGTTTTGCTCATCATCTTCATTCCTCGTTTTTCATTTTATGAAATGATGGAACCTTTTTTATACGTATTATTTTTTTTCTATTTTGAGGAAAAAAAATGAAGGAACTGTTTCGGATGAAAACAATGGGGCCTTGCCGAAGGCTCGCTGAAGTGGCTGAAGACTGGTCCGGTCCAATTGAAGCTGGGTCGAAGGTTTCCTGCACAACTAAAACACGTAAACTGGCCTCGGGGGTGGATCCGAGGAAGACCCCTCCGATGCCGAAGTCAAACAGTGTTTTGAGAGAAAAAGCTATGCAAGAGATTTAATGCTTGAGGCTTTGTTGTGTTGTCCTGTACAAATGAATGAATTGAAGGCTTTTATACACTAGTAGAAAAATACAAATAGGCAGCCCCCAATTGGCACCGGTTCAGACCAAACCGATGCCAAAAACCGGCCTAAAATTGGGCGGGGATTTAGACCAAGAACAATGGCACCGGTTCAGATCAAACCGGTCCCAAAAATAACAAGGCCACCGGTTTGAACCGGTGCCACTGAACCGGTGCTACAAAAAAAACCCGGATTGTTTATTTATAAACCCTAACATCCTTATCTCTCCTCTTAGCTTCTCTCTCCTCTCTTTCTCCTCCAAGGCTCCAACTGAGCGCCTCTCCTCCTTCTCCTCCAACTGAGCGCCTCTCCTCCTCTCTCCTCTCTTTCTCCTCTCAGCTTTCCGACCTCTGTTCTCTGTCTCTCTCCGCTCTCTGTCCTCTTCTTCTGACCTGAAAACTACATCTAAGCCCGGCTTCGTCCCTCTCGCAGTAGGTGCTTCTTGCTCGCCTCGCTCTTGTGACATGCATGCTATCTTAGAGTGAGGTAATTGATCTTGGAATTATTTGGGTTAATTGATTTTGTCATTTTTTGCACTTAATTGATTTTTCGAAATTTCTGGGTGTAATTGATTTTCGAAAGTTTTGGGGTTAAGTGATTTTCTGGGTTTGCTGGGTTTAATCGATTGCTGGGTTTGCTTCTTAGTTTAATTGATTTTCTAGGTTTAATCGATTTTCTGAATTCTGGGGTTAATTGAATTTCTGGGGTTAATCGATTTTCTGAATTCTGGGATTAATCGATTAATTCAGAAAACCTAGCAAAATTCTGGGGTAACCTAATTTTGCTGGGTTTAATCGATTGCTGGGTTTGATTTTGGGTTAATTGATTTTCTCGTTCATGCATTAGTTTTCTGGGTTTGCTTCTCGTTTTTTTTTTTTTTTTTTTAGTTTTAATAATTTCTGGGTTTTAATTTATACAGGTGTTAATTCAAGCAACAAGGATTCAAGATTTCGATTTTGGAATATTATTTTGATGTTGTAAATTTTTTTTTTTTATTGTTTTACAATTTCAATTTCTGAGTTAATTATAATTCATTGTAATTTTTTTTTTTTTTGTTTTGTATGGTACAATAACAATTTACTTGTTGAATTACCATTGTTTTGATGTTGAATATAACAATTTCAAGAATCCTTATTTCACCATTTATTTTTGTTTGGTTCGTATTTCATGTTTGTTTGTATATTATTTTTATTATTATTGCAAGAAAAAAGTTTTAAAAAAAAATATACCAAAAAGGCACCGGTTAACCGGTGCCTAAAACAACTACCACTAACAAAAAATATTCCGCGAAATTATTTAAGGCACCGGTTAACCGGTGCCAAAACCGGTTTATGGCACCGGTTTTGAACCGGTGCCAAAAAGGGGTGTAATTGGCACCCCCCACATAGGCAGCGGTTCAAACCGGTGCCTTAAGTCGGGTTTGAACCGCTGCTAAATCCCTTTTTTCACCTAGTGTATACCTTTGCACATGATGAGAGGAGAGTAATTGAGCCTCTAAATAGTCATGGGCTGACCATGGCAATTTGAACCAAAGGACTCTTGGTTGACTTGACTTGATTGGAGGCTCGGGCCTTGACCTTGGAATATGGAGTCATTTAGTGACCAGGCCCAATAAGATAGTTGGACCCAAATACATGACTAGGCCCAATTAGATAAATTGGATCCAAACAACTTGCCCCCCAGACCCGATTTGGAAGGATGACGGGTCGGGTTTGAATCCAATAAGAAATGGAGGGAAGTAAATGATTTAATTAAATCAAAAGATTTAAATTTTTAAACAGTTATTAATTAAATAACTGTAATTTGGATAATTAACAGGAAGTGGAGTGGATAGTGGGCGGTTAATCAAGAGGGAGAGTGTTTAACGGTTAATTAAGGAGGCGTTTAAGAGAAATTTGAACTTTTCGACCTTTGGGATTCTCCTTCCTGGAATTATAAGGTCTGATTCGCATTTCAACCTCATTTCTTCACCAACTTACACTCAAATTCTCTCGCAAACCCATTTTCGCTTTGAATTTCCAGTGTACCATTCTCGAATCCAAGTTCGAGACTCAAATCCATCGCTTCCACTGATTTGACCGGCGTATTCCGGCCAACTTGAAGGTAACTTTCCTCGAGCTTTTTCGATTTTCTTGCCTTTTTTTTAGGGAAATTCTTCTTCTCCCTTCTTTCCTTCTCTGAATTTGATTATGGCTCGAGAAAGGAGGCGTCAGCCGGGTCGACGGGGTCAGGCTAGGGATCCCCGTGACCGCGCCGAAGTTTGGAACGGGGAACGAGCCGGTGAAGACCCGGAAAGGGGGATTCCGGCAGTTCCCTTAAACGCCGCGCCGCCTCAGCAAGACGCCGAGGCCGGCGAGGCGGAGCAACCTGAGCAGAGAGAACAGGCTGGGCAGGCTGAAGATTTGCCCCCTGTGCTCTGGGACCTGCTTCCTGGGCATGCGAAATGGCAGGACGCCGAGGCCCAGGACGCCATGGTGAGAAATACCCCATACTCATGGTGGGTTCGGCATGCCGAAACCTACCGATTTGCCGAGCAAATTGAGTTGCACTACGGCATTTTTGAAGAGGATGGGCATTGGTGCCGAATGCCCTCCCCGACTGACAGGATTCACCGTCCCCCTCCTGGGTATGTAGGGGTGTACACTCGGCAATTGCAATACGGGCTTCGGTTTCCTTTGGATCCCTTCGTCAGGGACATTTTAATAAAGTACAGGATCTCCCTGTGCCAATTAACACCCGTTAGCATTCGGCGGGTGATGACTTATCTCTGGGTGTGTCGGTTTTTTGTTGTTGAACCGAATTTGCACTGCTTCCGAAAGATGCATCAGCTAGTGCAGAACCTCCAGAGCGTGTACGGCCAACACGGGTCTTCAGGCTAGTGGCGAATAGAGAGCTGCCCCCAATATCTGACTATGTGGCCGAACGACTCCTCGGATAAGGATTGGAGGGGTCAGTGGGTCTGGGTGAGAGTTCCCGCTGATCCGGAGCATCCATATTTTTTCGGGGCTCCCCGATACCTCTCCAGGCCTGATCCGAACATGCAAGACTTGGGTCCTGAGGACCCTGATGCCACTAGCCACCCGAGTTATGAGCAAATGATCTTCTTCGGGAAGCAGAATAACTCCGGGGGAGTTGGCCGAATGAGAACTCTCCCGGCCAGATGGCTTCCGGATAACCATTACATCTTCCAAGAGAAGATGTTGGCAGTTGTCGGCCT